AGCTTACTTTACCTGGAGCTTACTTTACCTGAATTGAGGAGACATCAGTAGCCGCGCGGCGCACGCGCTTTGCAGGCTGACTCGCCGTCACGTCGGACCGTACGGTCCACCGGCCGACAGCTCGAGCCTCGGACTACCTATAACTTAGGAATATAATATTAAAGGACCAGGTATAATATTAGCTCACCAGCCTGGGACGGGTGGGGTTAGTTTGGTGGTTAGGGTGGGTACGGGTGCGGAGCGGGTAGATTGTTGGGTTAGGGTTTTAGTGTTAGTTGGAGCTTATTATACCTGGCTCTTACTACGGTATAGGTACTTAAAAATTAGTCCGTCATCCGTCCGACCGGCCGACGGTACCCTTCGAATGGTTGCAGTAAATACGTACGTGTCGTCCGCCGGCCGGCCTGGCATGAATAACTCTCGATTCTATCACGAGGCTCAATCCTAAGCGCCATGAAAGGTAACGGCCAACACTTAACCGAAACCACAGGTTAACAGGCTCCGCACCCGTACCCACCCTAGCCCCCGTGCCAACCCCAGCCGTCTCAGTTAACCCTTGATGGTTTCGATCAGAATCCGGCGGCCGCATGCTGCAGGGCCCAGGCAGCTTTCGGGATCGCGGAATTCGGACGGAATCTCACAGGGTGAATCATTGTATGCTGACAGTAGATTCCATGTGATGATGTCAATAATGCACCCGATCTCAAGGATGCCGTCTCGGCAAAACTGACAAGGGAGGGAATATCCTGAAAGCGTGGCCATCGTGCCGTGCTAGCTCAAGATTCTGCATACGTATGCAGCTCTTTCCCTCGCCCACAATAGATTCGTACTCGTGCAGATACCAAAATCAAAACCACTGTGACTATTAGCAGTCGGACTGTGCAGCAGGCAGCTAGAGGTTGAGAACAGGCGAAGCCTTGAAGTTGAAGATGATCGGATGAAAAGCAGCTCCTGTGCAATGATCAGGAGTCCTTAGGGGTATCCTGACTGATATGCCCGAAGGAACAGCTGCCACCCTGTGAGAAAAACGCAGATTGAGCTCGTCTGGCCTGCTCAGTACTGGTCTACTGGTGTTGCTTCACCTGACCAATCAGTGCAAAGTGGGTATTCGTTATTTGGCCGCGTTCTGTCGTCTCTTCGAAACTTCCTGCACCAGGATCGAAACGAGTCTGAATCGATTCGGACTCGCTTTATCGAAACAGTTGCAAACAAGTCAGAAGCAAGATCAGCTGACATCAGCCATGGCGCGCCTCCTGCTTCTCGCAGCAATCACGCTCCTTGCGGCATCCCCCCTCGCCGCCGAGTATGCTGAGAACATGAACTACCAGAGTCCCCTCACGACCCGCCCGGACCTCGCAAGATCCCCCCCCGACTACGAGGCTTTCAGCAGCGGAAGAAAGCTGCTGCAGGCTGGCCCCGCTATCGCATTCAACCACGGGGTTGCGAGCGGAGACCCAGGGATCGATAACAGCGTCTCTCCCTTCCAAGCGTCGGTGATCCTGTGGACCAGAGTTACGCCGGCGAGCGCCCCATCGGGCCCGATCACGGTTAATTACAAGGTTGCCACGGATGCTGGGATGACCAATGTGGTTATGACTGGGTCAACCTTGACCACCGGTGATGTGGACTACACTGTGAAGGTGACAGTGAAGGGCTTGACGCTGGGGGGCGTCTTCTACTACTACCAGTTCTCGGATGCGAGCGGCGGTGTCAGCTCCTTGGTTGGTGAGTTGATTGAGCTGCGATTTGCGCAGCTCTTCATGTCGCCATGGGGTTTCCAATGGAACAATTCCTACAATGCTGCCAAAATGATGTCAAGCATGCGCATTCGGAAATGCGTGTAGGTGACAATCGATGCTTTGTTCAAAGCTTGAGCCTAAGAAGCAAATTTTGAGCCTGAGAGGGAAAGTTAAAAGCCTCTCTTTGGGCGGTATGCATGTCCAAGGAGGGGACACACAAATCTGGTATGTGACGTCCCATAAAGACTTTCTGAGCCGCTCTGAATCAACACTCACGGCTTTTGAAGTCCTTGCATCCGCTCTAAGCGAGACAGAACAATACCTGTTTCTGGCTAGCTGGGCACTATTAGTCCAGGTGTCTGTAAAGGAGAAGGTTGATGACCAAGTCATGGATACCAGAATTGGAAGCTGTTGGTCATCAGACGAAGCATCTCTCACAGGCTTGCTCTCTACAACGTCTAAGATTAGATATAACATCTGCTCAACTCAGATTGTCTTGAAACAGAACACCACAGAGCCGCTTGTCAGAGTCTTGGGGGTCTACATGAACGTAACCTAGCACTAGCCATGAGGAGTCTGCTTTCAAATCCAGTCAATCATTAGTACAGGCGCGACTTCTTGCCAAGAATATGTGGGGGGGGGAGAACTGTCAGTCAAGGGTCCTGGCAGGGATGTTCATCTATATAGGAGGTTTTGATCGGTGTTATGTTAAGCAATGCATTCTTCCCACTATAGTTTGCCATAATCAGTGCAATAATCCTGCTCATGGCTGTAATTCTTGGGGCCGGAGCTGGGTCGCTGCCCTTCACGCAATGGGACCAGTATGGATTCAAACAAAAAGATGGCGCCCTTCAAAGAGTGTCAATTGTGAGGTATCCCTAATTGAGTACTACCCAATCAACTGTAATTCACAACCCTGACTTTTTGGCAACAACAAGATTTCCAGCATGGTCCACAATGCTTTGGCAAGCAGATCAATGTGAAGAACCCTGAGATGCAGACCCCTGACACGGACTTTTCTTTGCCTTCACTGCTCTCAAGTTTCTCTCCTACTCATAATTGCAACCTTGAAGGATTGTCACCTCGTTATCAGCAGCTAAGAGAGTTCCCGTCTCTATGAAAGCCAGAGGAGCAATGACACAAGCGCCATCAAAAGTACCACATCACAAGTAGACAGCTATACCACTCACAAGAAGCCATTGCTTTCTTAGTTCGTCCAACTTCCAGACCGCTCTCACCCCTCCGTCGCAGGCCGCCTCAAGACCCTGCAGCAGGGTGACGTCAGCAATGTGCGCTTTGCCGTCGTGTCGTGCTCCAACTTCCCTGCCGGCTATTTCAACGCGTACCGCAGCATTGCTGACCAGAACGTGGACCTGGTTCTGCACCTTGGCGATTACATCTACGAGTACAAGGACGGAGGTTACGCCACCACGTTTGCTGACACCGTTGACGCCACCCGCAAGCCCGCGCCCGATGTGGAGATTGTACAGCTGGTCGACTACAGGTCGGGCGCCAGTAACCCCAGTAACCAAAACCAGTAACCAGTATCCAGTATCCAGTAACCAGTGACCAGTGACCAGTAACCAGCAACCCCCCAGCTTTCCTTTTCTTTGGGCCTTTCTTTTGCCAAGTGGATGAAACCTGGAGCTTTGCATAGACAAGGTCAAATAGGGAAAAGCTGCTCCTTGAGCCTGGTGTTTCAACTGGTGGGCTTTGCAAGGGAACTCAAAGCAAGGTAATGTGAAGTTCTCAGTCTGCCAGTCAAACCACCTGGCGTGGCTCTTTTCTGGTGTCATCAAGACGACCTCGGTTTTATTTACCAAGAACCAAGAACGAGCCTTTCTTTTGTACATTTTTGGTGTCGTTTCTTTTGTGTTCTGCAGTTTCTGTATCCACAGTGCAACGATCTGTGTAGCTGCGTACCTGTCTATCCGTTGTCAAACCTCAACGAGAAACTTGGACAGGCATCAACATGGCACCTTCCTTGTTTGAAATTTGTCACCACCATTACAAGGAAGGACAACCATGCCTCGTTGCCCTTGGACTCTGCTTCGATAGGAATCGACTTACCTACTCGGCATACGCCTTGAGTTCAAGTAATGGAAAAAATCTTCAAACGGCTCATTGATATCAGCGCTTTTTTCTGTGTAGAAACCGCCACGTTCGACGCAAGATAGATACGAGGTCTCGTTGGTCAAGCACGCGGCCCGTAGGTCGCATTCCCGCTTATCCGTTGACTCTGATTCTCCTTTCAAGTCAGCACTTGGAATGAATATTGACACCAGCATCCCTTTCTTTTCCAGGATCCGTCATGCTCTGTACGAGACGGACGAGAGCTTGCTCGCTGCGCATGCCGCCCAGACAAAAAACAGACTAGCCGAGGCTTGTGCTTTGAGTTTGTTGTCATTTAAAAGGAGATTTGGACAGTCATTCAAAAGCAAAAGTCTGCTTTCCAGGATCCGCCAGGCGCAGTACAAGACGGACGAGGGCTTTCTAGCTGCGCAGTTTCGCAGACAAAGGGCCGAGTAGCTGAGCCTTCTGCTTTGACTTCCATTAGATCCCAAAAAGTAAGCTGGGCAATCTCTCAAAAGCAAATACTGCTTTCCAGGATCCGTCACGCGCAGTACAAGACGGACGAGGGCTCGCTGGCTGCGCATGCGGCGCACACGTGGGTCACTGTGTGGGACGACCACGAGTTCACCAACAACGCCTGGTTCGGAGGAGCGGAGAACCACCAGCCGGCCACCGAGGGCGACTGGTTCGTGCGCAAGGTCAGCATGACGGCAGCGCCGTGACGTCAGTATGGCGCTCGTCAGCGTACGGTCGCTTGCGTCACCTGCTCGTGGTGTAATTCGCAGCCACAAGCAACCAGATGTTCGTACGAGCGCGTCCTGGTCTCCCATGAGTTTGCCCTGGGACTTTAGCAAGATTGTTACGACAGTCGAGAACTTCGTTTCATTCTGATCAAAGTCCTGAGAAGACGTCAAGAGTCACCACTCAATAAAGTATTGATGTATGGCGCTGGTTTTCGTCCGTATATCAAGGCGTCCTTCACAGTGGTCTCGCTACTTTTTCCTCCTTTCACTCCCTGCAATCTCCGCAGCTCTTGCGTGCTTCTCAACCACCCGGACACTCACCATTGACTGGTCAGCGGGCTCAACCGATTACTTATCTCAGCCTTTCTACAGCTGTTTGCGTCAAACTTGCCATTGGGTTCCAGACTCTCGGAGCGTGGCTCCTGATCTTGGGCCGTCCGATGCCTGCCTTGTCGTCGATCGAACGGTCCAAGATCAGGGACCATGATCGGAGCATCTGAAACCCGATGGCAGGTTTGACGCAAAGAGCTTTACCACAACGCCAACCCTTTCAACGCAGCTAGCGCTATCTTCGGAATTTGGTCTTCTTCACCCTGGTCTGCTTGCTCTAATATTCTGCCAGACCCTGGCTCTAACCGCCTCCTGACCTTGCCCCTTCCAGGCCAACTTCGACTGGGCGCCTGTTACCTTAAGCTGAGTCCAAAGTCGACCCTATTAGTTCCCAAACGCAAACCTCAAAATGGCAGCCCAGAACTCAGAAACCATCATGACCGGACACACTAACCCAGCTCGAACCCGCCCCTCTTGCAGGCCAACGCCCTCCGCGCCTACTTCGAGTGGATGCCCATCGCACAGGTCGACCCGAACGACCCTTTCCGCATCTTCCGGAGCTTCAACTTCGGTAACCTGGTTGACCTAACCATGCTGGATACCCGCATCTACGGCCGCCAGCAGCAGGTCGACGACCCCTTCTTCTACGGTGTGAATAGCACCGCCATCCAGGAGCAGGTCCGCACGTCCCCTGGCAGGTGAGCCTTTTCACACTGTCAGCCAAAGGTTGGACCTGCGACATCGGCATGGTCGCGTGGTGGTTAAGAGAGTTCCAAGCCCTGAAGAAGGAGCATAGTCTCTCCGTACTTTCTCGAGCACCATAAGATCAGCTCATCTGCTGCGGATATTCGAGGAGCTCTTTCGATCGTGGTTGTCACAATGTGTGCTTTGGAGGTGAGGCTCTCTTTTGCAGTACCTACATTGTCTTCCTTCGACTTGTGGCTTTTTGACCTTTGGTAGTTTGGACCCAATTCCTTAGGAGGGAAACGCTTCCAGTTTTGGCGGCCCAATGGTTGAGGCTTAGCTTTTTGCAGGACAAGCACGCGCGATACTTAGGCACGTGTTCTCAATTGAAAAGTTTACACCCTCGGAAAAGGATTCCCCATCCTACGATTTCAGATGTCGTCACAAGGGCAGACTCAGACCCACGGAAAAGGGCAGCCCTCTCCGAAGAGAACGCTCCCGATTCTGCGGCCGGAATAAGTGGTCTCATGAGCTAATCCTTTTGCGGGCCAACATGGGCGCCCAGGACCAGTATTAGGACCGCAGCAAAATCAGACCCGCAAAAGAAGCAGCCCGTTCCCACCGATCTGGGTTGAGGGAAACGCTTCCGGCTTTTGCGGCCAATAAACGTTTGAGGCCCCGCTTTTGCAGGACCATCATGGGCGACACCCAGGAGCAGTATTTGTACGCGCAGCTGACGTCGTCGCAGGCCAAGTGGCGGGTCATCGGACAGCAAGTCATCTTCGGACAGTTCACCTCCGCGGGGCGTGCCGGCGTCCTCCCCCCTTTCGTCTGTGAGGCTTTTATAGGGCATTTGATTACGTCGAATATAAGCTTTTCGATAAGCTTTCTACAAATGAGTTGATGGCTACGAACGTAGAGGAATGCTCAAGACAAGCTTGGCACCGGGCAATCTTGGAAGGGCTTCTCCCCCGCAATCCATAGGTTGACGCGTTTTCCGACTTGTCACGATTTATATGTTTGCTGCTGAGACAAGCTTCTTACGGTGATAAGATCAGTCAACAATCCTTTTTATCAAGTACCGCGTTTCGCAAGTCCACGAAGGCTCTGAAGGCGTTCAAAATGATCAGTTCAACACCTACGTTTCAGATTGTTCCGGTCCGATCCTGAGCACATCGTACTCCTTGTTTACGTGCAGCATATGACGCGTGGGACGGTTACGCTGGTAAGTTTTGACCCACGATGTACAGTCTTAGGAACGTGAGTTTTAAGATGATTCTCGCGCGCTTTCAATTCCGACGAAATTGCGAAGCTGGGCTGCCGGAAAGATAGCAGTTGGTTTTTGGGGAAGGACCTTCGATCTGTGACCTTGTGCTCTAGAACCAGAGATGGAAGACACTCTTCAGACGCAAAACGAGCTATTAAGACGCTCTAGATTGGCCGACCAGTTCCAAAAGGAGCTCCAAAAAGCGCCCCTTTTATGGAAATGTCTCGTAACTAAGACGTCTAAAAAAGGAAGCCGTTCATACATTTGCATCTAGAAATCGTAATCCATCACTCCCGCTTCTGGACCTTTTGTTGCCAATGATGCGAGGCCGGCCACCCACGTTCCGTTGTTCCGCTCGCAGACAACCGCGACCGGATCCTGGCGCAGCTGCAGTCCGGCAAGATCAGCAACACCATCTTCCTGTCAGGAGACCTGCACTCGTCTGTCGCCAATGATCTGCCCCGCTTCGCTTACCCCAACAGTAAGTCACTCGCTCTCCTGTCCAGTTTTGTTTACTCCCCGAAGTCTTGAGGTTGGCTCCCATAGGCTCCGAAAGCTTGATTGCCGACCCGCTGACGTGGCGGCCCTCTATTGGCTTTGAGATTCTTTCCTCGTACAAGGCAAGAACCATCCAAACTTACAAGGCGGCACCGGCCGCAAAGAGTTTCGTCCTTAGAAATTCGACCGCAACTCCTTTTTTCCACTTCTCTACTACCATATTCCGTCCCTCATAAGCCGAATGCACAAAGTTTGAGCGCAATCTCTGCACTGGCTGGAATCTGACTGACACAAAAGTGTGTAACAGCACAGTGATTCGACTTCCGAAATCGAAATGCTTTTGTTCGATCTGAATTACCGAAGCGTCGAAACCCGTTCTGCAGGCTATTGCGCGACCGTGGATCCGACCCCGTGCGCTTATAACGCCACCACCGGCGCGGGATCCCTCGCCGTCGAGTTCCTGACCACCGCCGTAACGTCACCCTCCGCCCTGGAGAGCCTCTTGTAAGTGCCGACGTGACTTCACCGTTCAGCATCCTCTGAAGGATGGTGACCGTAGAATGCGTTGAAAAGCTCCAACCTCACCGCTTTCTGCCTTCTTTTATCAAGACAAGCTCGTTGACGAATCTGACTCCTTGTTCGAATATCTATCTTTCTTTCAAGACAGTGCTGCAAGAACTGCAAGGTTGCATTTGTTTAGCACAAAATTGCGTTGGGTTTGAGCATTTCCCTCGCGCGTTAAAGGGCGTTTTTGCTCCGGACCAGGGCGTTTGGAAACGCGACTTTGCGGGGTCGAAACGACTCATGATGGGCAAGAAAACTGAGGTTTGGTCAACGGTCGTTCTCGTTCGAAGCGAAGCGAATATGATCCCATGTCGACGTTGGTTCGATTTGAGCTTTTCTTGCTGCAGATTGAGGGCTTTCTCTCTATCATATTCAATCTGCAACTTGCAAACCGATTCTATAAGCCCGCAGACTCTTTCGGACCGTACCTTTTCCAGTCTTCGAAGCGGACCTCATCTCCAAAATCTCCTGCATGGTTTTTCCAACATTCTCTTGCCTTTGCCCCTGTATAGCTCCGGACGCCCCTGCTTCAAGACGAGGGAATCTCGGAACCCTACACCTCGTTAAATCTGAAGCTCCTATTTTTTGAGTCAGCGTCTCGTTCAGCGACCGCGGCCCCGCTGCGGCGCTTTTGACGCCGATCAGAACAAGACAATCTCAATTGTCTAAACTTGTCTAGACCTTGAACCTTGAACCTCCAAACCCCGTCACTTGCAGCGGCCACGGCCACTCTGCGGCCGGCATTTCGGCGCTTTCAACACCCAATTTTTGGGCGGGAGAATCTCAATATACCTCGAACCCTAAAATTCCAAACCCCGTCCTTTGCAGCGGCCCCGGCCCCGCCGCGGTCGGCGCTTCGGCGCTTTCAATCCTCAAAGTCCGAGACATTCTCAACAGACGTTGAACGCTAACCCTCCAAACGCCGTCGTTTGCAGCGGCCCCGGCGCCGCGGCCCTTCTGACGCTCATATCCGAATGGGACATTTTCAGATTAGGCCTTAAATCCTAAACCTTCAAACCCCCGTCTTTTGCAGCGGCCCCGGCCCCGCCGCGGCCGCGGGCGCGGCGCTGCTGACGCCCATTTTCGCCGCGGACAACCCCGCGCAGCGCTACCTGGAGTGGAACTCCAAGGGCTACCTCCTGCTGGACATCACGCCCGCGCGCGCACAGGTTGGGGCCTGGAACTGGTTTGCAGACTTTTTCCATCCACTGGTCATCTGCACTCGAGTTCAATGCTGTTCATCTTTTGCTTGGAAGAGTGACCCGTGTATAGGACGCACGAGCTCTCCCAGCTCTGAAGACTAGTTTCAAGTCACGAATTCTATTCGAGCCTGCACCTTGCTTGGAATTTTGGGTTAAGGAGAAACGTCGTGTTGCGCGACCATAAAGTATTCTTCGAGACTCTTTGCACCGCGCTCCGGCCCCGAATCGTGTCGTACAAAGCTCTCGAAGGTGTGAACAAGAACTTTGCCCAATCTTGGAGTTGGGCAATGGACCTACTTTGGGCTGCACTTACTAGTCTGTCTGGGATCCTTCGTCAGAACTTAACCTAGTTAGGAGGCGGGGCTCCAAACGTCGTGAAGGAAACCTCATCCGATGAGTCATGTGGAACGGCAGTCCACTGGTTGGGGTCGTCGAGAGGACAACTGGTCCAGATTCGGCAACAAAGCACCATGTGCATCAGCTTCGTGGTCGCCCTCTTGATTCCACAGGACTATCGGTTTACGGAGACCGCCCACTCGTTTTATCGCTCTCTCTTGATCAGAGCCTTCGGGAAGCGCTGAAGGAATGTTGGCTTCAAGAGGTTGATTCCAGATTGGTAGCTTCAACGGCTGACTGTTTGAGCGCGCGCGCAGGGCTCCTACTGCTACGTCAGCACCATCACCAGCAAGACGTTCACCACCGACTGCTCCAACGTGGTCACCACTCAGTCAGGCGCTAACCACCTGGTTAGGACCGGGGGAAACATCCCGGCCCCCCCCCAGGCGCCTGCGCCAGCGCCCGTCGGCACGACGTCAGCGCCCACCGGGACGACGTCAGCGCCCCCCGGCACAACGGCAGCGCCCGGCAGCACAACGTCAGCGCCCGCCGCAACGACGTCAGCGCCCGTCAGTACGACGTCAGCGCCCACTGGGCCGGTGCCAACCTTTGCCGGTGCAGGGCCGACTTGTGACGCGACGTCTTCCAGGCCCAATCAGGTGAGGAAACTAGGTGGATATTCAAGTTGGTTTCTTTTCGGGGTCTGAGAAACTTTGAGCAAGAGTCAATTAGCGACAATCCACCGAGATTTTCCGTTACTTTTGCGGTGGTTAAGGTTTGAGCATATCTTGATTTTCAGTCACTCAGTTGCGCGAGTAATCAGAGAGAATCGTACGTGAGTTGAGTGGCGCTTGCCCGGAAATTGGAATGATGAGACACAATCAGCGCCAACGACAGTACTATTGAACGGCTTTCCTGTTCGTGCAAGTGCAAGTGCGTGTCAGCTGGATAGGCGTCGATCTTGCCCTTCTTTGTGGGCAAAACGTTGCAGGCTATCTCGGCGCGCAGTCTTTGACGAAAGTCCAACGGTCCTCCTCTTGCATTTTCCCCCTCTTTCTCCACTATTGTGTTTCCTCTCAGATCTGGAACCCAGTCCGGACAAATGCCTCCCATGAAAGTCGAAAAGATGTTACTGTCTCCGTGAAGAATGCGCTGCACATCCGTCTTTCTCAACGGCCACACCTCCTCAAGAAGTCTTCGGCCGAAGGTGTCAAGATGCAAGTCGCCCGGCTTAAACTCCCAGCTTCTGATCCTGTGCGCGCGCGTCTGTGCAGTGCTTCAACGCCGACGGCACTTTCTCCATCTGCTGCCCGGGGAGCTGCCCCGACTCCCCAGGCGCCGAGCCGGTTTGCAAGGCCTGAGCTGGACTCTAAAACTGGGCGTTGGGGTTTGCCGGACGTCAGCCGCTATCTCCGACGGCGTCACAAATCCAACGGTCTAGATTTTGGACGGTAATTCTGTGAGGTTCTTGGCACCGCCCGATCGGCCTTGTCCATGCATGGCCTACGCCCACTTCAATGCATCTTCTCGGGAGATATTACCGGTGGGATGTGGACGACAATTACCTACTCTAGTTCGCTGATCCCGAGGCGTAGAGGTTAAGATTTGCACAGCACTTTGTGGCAAGTCAATCTGGTGCTACTACAATTCGATTTTGAAGGCCGCATGACCCCAGTGGAATGAAAGCCGAATAAAGGTACTTTTGAGGCAAGTCAGCGACATAAGAGTTTGAGTCTTCGTTGATGAGTTCAGACAAATTGCTGGCAAGTTCGAGTCGCTGAATGCTAAATAAACTATATGAAGTATCCAATGAAAGAGGAGGGTTCGCATAGGGGACAGACACTATAGACAATCGTGATACAGCCACATATTGAGACGTACTAAGTCGGCAGTCGTCTCTGACGATCGACTGTGGACTGGACGGTAAGTTTGAGACCCTTTCCCATCTGATGAACGGACCGTGTCGAAGCATAGACCAAGCATGAGTATGCTTCATTGTTCATACGACAAGCCACAGGGGCCAGATGCGCTTTCATTTTTATCCGTCTTATCGTGTATACGGGCTCTCACACTGGCACACTCAGTGAGATTGCTCTAGGCACTGGCAAGGCCCGGTCATAGAATGAGTCCATCGCAAAGTTGCATGAGGCCGGACTAAAGCTTGAGAATCCGAGGCTGTATGACGGTTCCATGTGATTGAATCGTCAGATGATTGGGTAATTTTCTATGTATACTAGAAAATTGCACATTCTATTCGACGTCTTGACATGCGAATCTACAAATAGTCTGCGGCGCATCATTGCGATAAGTTCGCCACAAACCAGGCGATTCGTACCCCACGGGCAAAGCGACAATTCGAAAAGTACCGACTGCGACAGAAGCATGCATGACGTGATTGGATCTTTGAGGAGGAAGTAGCAATTGTAGCAACCCATCGATCGCGTGCGGCCGCCAGCCGGCACATGCCGCGTCAATACTGCGTTCTCGACGCTCTATTTCAGTGCCCCCCAACCCCGTTGGTCTGCGAACTTTCGTGTGTACTGTTTACAGGTGACCATAGCTCAATCCTTTCAAATTTCTTGACCCTCATTTCCTTACCGTCTATAGTTCCGATATTTCCATTCTCGAAAGTCAGTCTTCCTGGTCGTCCTCGCTTTCAGAGTCACTGTAAGATCGAACAAAACATCAGAATCTGCAGCCAGAACCTTACAACCCTGTAAGCAGTCAAGCAAACATGGAGTAGGGACGCAAGCTGGGTGACTACCGACGGTCGCAAAGGCTCCGGACATACTGACAGCCTTGCCAGCCGCAGAAGGCCTTTTGCAAACGTCCGCCCCGTAGTAACTGCCCGCAAACAGCGGAGAAAAACGGACACGTTTACACTTCAGCTCTTGAAGACCAACTCAAAACGAGCTACTTTGAACCCCTCACCTTTGAAAAAGGTCGATCACCCGGACCGCCGTCTTCGATCGGCTCCCCACGCCGAATGCGACGCTGTTTGCGCGTCTCTGCACCACTCCTCCCCCTCTCACCGCTTTTCTCCGCGCCGGACTGTCCAACGGGTCGCTCTTCGCGCGCTCTTCGCGCGCCGCGCCACGCGCGCTCGCGGGCGCCAGCGGGCTCGTCGCTCGGAAACCGGGCGACCGCGCGCGCGTCGGGCTCGCGGGGTTTGAGCGCGGCAGCGCGATGGAGGGCGGCGGGCGGCTGTCGCGAAAGGGCGACCCGCGAGTGCCCTTGACGGGGACCAGGTCGCCGTCCGGGCTGGTTAGGTTGATGAGCGGGCCCCGTTCTAGGTCTCGCCGCATTCTTTCGGCCAGTTGCAGCGCCTGCGCCTGCAACGAGAGCGGCCGCGGGGCCTCGGGGCTCGACGGCCGTTTCCAGCTGCTCCTTTGGTCGTTCCCGTTCCGCTTTTCCAATTCCCTCCGGCCCCCGGATTTCAGATCTGAGAGCCGCGAATTTGGCCCGGGACTGGAGGGGCGGCTGTAAGCTACCGGGGTTTGTGGTCGGGCGGGAGTAAGCGGTGAGAGGAGAGAAGCCCCGTTCACACTGCCTTGCTCTGCTGCGACGGAGCTTGGTGAGAATACGGACGCGTCGACTGGAGTGGTGGCTGCGCCCGTCGATTCTGCAAAGAGCGAAAATAGATTGCTCGATATTTGACGACGGCTTTCCCTCGTCTAAGGAAAATAAGGAAACTGTTTAACTTGCCCTGGTTCGTAGTCAGATTCATCGACGCTTTGAGAGATCATCCACGAAAAATATGATAGTTGATCAGGATCAAGCCACCGGACTTTGGCTCTTGAAACGTCAAGCCAAAGAAAGGGACTCAGGGACTCAGCTGCGCTCGGCAGTTCAATGCGCAGAATGAGCAGAGCGGCAAAAAATTGACCACTTCTCGGTACTATTTCAAGGTAGTTTTCCACAGACTAACTACCAACTTCATAACTCAGCAAGTAAGAACGTCCACTCTAGAAAGGATCCCAAGAATTTTCAAAGTAGAAACGGTCGTCAACGTTCGAACCTTACCCGCCAGCCAGTCCCGCACTTCTGAAAGCGCCCGCTCGAGCCGCTGAGGTTTCAGGTTTCTGACCACGTCTTCCAACGGCGATTTGTTGGGGCTCGCGTGCGTTACAGCCTTCTGAACGGTCTGCGGTTCTCTGCTCTCATCCAACACTGTGGTTGCCTTTTCCTCTTGAAGAGGGGCTTCTGCGGGTGCGCTTTGAGGGGCATTGGCATCCTGCTCTCTAAGGGGAGGGGGCGGAGAATGCCTGCATGTCACAATTATCGGCAGCATATGAGCTTTTTCTGAGCCTGGAAAGAAGCGTGAAGCATTCTGTGACGTTTGACTGCCTTTCCGGAAATGAACGCCGTTAAGCGCGTCGAACCGATGGAATCCTTGCAGTTGAGTGAAGTGGCGATTCCGTTTCGACTGCACAGGAGCATGCTAGCTAGAGGCTCGATCTTAATTGGACGATAACGTAATCATTTAAAACCAAGGTATCCACGTCGAACAGGAGTGCTGTCATGCATAGCCTTTGCAGAAGCCTCGATCGAACATCCGGTCTGGGGATGAGAAACGGACAGCTTTTATCGACTTAATCGAGTTTCACGAGTTGAATGAGTTCTTGGTGCCTCACGTTTCCTCAGTCTTCTTGTCAGGAGAGGCAGTGGAAAGGGTTCGCTTCTCCGTCGTGCTGGCTGCTTGAAGTGCCGCGCTCAACTCCGCTGCCTTTCTCTGAATCGCTTCTTCGCACTGCACAAGGAAAGCGGTCAGGATCAATCTATTCAACAATACAAGTGCAGATTTGGCGAGTAGTCAGCGCTAAAGCTGGTCATTTTCATTTTCATTTCTGGATATGTCACACCTTCGTGCACCGAAAGGACGGGGCGAGTGTTGCAAATATCAGGCCCGTCAAGATCGCATTTCAAAGCAATGGCTGGTTCACAGTCCGATTCGAAATTGTAGTTTTCACGTGACGAACTGGGTGCACTTTGACCTCGACTTAGTTGGAAGACCAGAAAGGCTGAGAATCATAACCATCTTGAGGAACGAACACAGGCGAAGACTTGAGAAGGTTGTTGAAGCACGCAGCAAGAACAGTATGCAGATTGACAACGTAAAGGTGTTAAGACCAACCTGCTTGTTCTGGGAGTTTGCCTTTTCCAGCACCTCTGCTTTGAGTTCCTCTATTTGGCACATGTACTGGCGGTGGATCTCAGCGGCTCTCCTTTCGAAGTCCTGAAATTTCAACAGGGGACACGTTACGAAGACTTGGTCCTGACTCTAAATCTAGGAGTCTTTGCTGCAACAGATCTGGGTGTGTCAACGCAAGGTATGGTGAATAAATTCCTACGGGAGCATTGAGGACACTACCACCAGCCATCAAGTATTTGCTGTCAAAAAGGTTTTGAGATGCAATGCATCACTTCGTTGCAAAGATAATGCTTGTTACACACATATCAAAGTATGATGAACGCTTCTTCACTCTCTTTTTCATCTACTTTCTTCTGCAGATCTTTTAAAGAAAATGTTGTCATTGGTGCGCCCAAAAAACGCAGCCTCACCTTCGACAGGAAGTCGAGTGTGTTATCCAACATCTGCTCCTGGAACGTTCTTGTGGAGGTCAGTTCCCGCAAGGTCGACTCTAACACGCTCTCCGCTTTTCTGATCTCCTCTGCATGGCTGCCAATTGTCGCATGAGCCTGTTCCACCAATCTCTGCACATGCCTCGTCAGCTCACCCTCCCATAAGCGGGCCGCCATAGCGCCTCCCCCACCAGCATTCCCCTCTACTTGCGCGGGCCTGAGCTTCTTCTCTGGACTGACTTCGTTGAGACGAGCTGCAAAGCTGTTCAAGACCGTTCCTCGCACTGGATACGAGCCTGAATAGTCAAGAGCTCGTACTGCTCCCTTTGAAATGGGACTAGGCAAAATGTCAACGCGACTCATACGCTCCTGCCAGGACGGACTCCAAGCAGCTCGTATGTAGCCATCTCCTATGCTCTGCTGGGAAGCTATACCCTCTACGTCTACGTACATGTTCGCTAATCTTGTCGCTTCCCATTGCTTTCTTTGACGCGCTTCAACACTCGACATTGAGTTTCTTCCTTCATTGGCTGGCACACTGCTCTGAAGCGGCGCCTGATTGAGCTCTGGTGAACTCGTCAAGCCGGCTACTGTAGCTGGAGGTCTCTTTGGAGCTAGCAGCGCACGCAGCCTATTTGCTCTGCTCCAGGGAATGCTGCCATTCCTCTCGATATCCAGATCGTCGCCGCTGTCGCTGTCGGTGTCTGGGAGTTGCTCCATCATTGCTTCCCTAGAACCAGGCTAACACAGCTGCCCCTGTCAAACGTTAAAGAATGAAACATGTCACATACCTCAGCTCTGCCGATTAGACAAGTAAGGACAGGGTATCTCCTGTTCCAGCTGAGGCTATGGAGGGTGCCTTGTCCGGGCAGCTAACTTATCAGAAGTGGCTCCCGCTTCTCGTTGAAACGACGCTGCAGCCCTCTGTGAGGAGTGAACAAGGCGGTGCTGCTGCCATATTACAAGCGCCCCTCCGGGCTGCGTCCAGCTCAAATACCTGGCAATGTAGGATACTTTGTGTCGTTCGTCAATTTGTCGAGCTACATTGCTTGTCTTCACATGGTGCAGTAGCATCAATCTCTATTGGTGAACGCCATGGCCAAGTCCGCCGCCAATTCACTTCAGTATCCCTTAGTGCTTCTTGCTGATTCAGTCCCAACATAGGTAGCTAATTGCAGCCGGAGTTTTCGCTGTGTTACCGACCTCCTTACTCGGCTCTCTCGTTAGGAATACCCATCGACGATCAAGAGGCCCTGCGGCTTAAATCGACGACCAAGATCGTAAGTACCGGGATTCTCTCTAAAGCGCGAATGTCGCCGCTGATCCTGTTCACTGCTGACAGTGACACTGTCAGTGTAAGGATGATGTTTGCAGGCTTGAATTCGCGCTTCCAGCTTTCCTTATTTTTCAAAAGCGATGAAATATGATCGGACTCTGACAAGCACCAATGCTATAACAGCGTCTGCACAAGGGATTGCTAAGAGCAGCCGGCATTGTTATTCTGCACTAATAGTTACGTGCATGCATACAGCTGTAAGCAGTCTTTGTAGTTGCTTGTTTCGCAAGCAAGCATTGCTTGCCGTAAGTTGACAAAGACAGAGCACTAGCCTGACTAATGCAGCGATTGCAAAGGGCGAATCTGTGGCACTATGCACCGGGCCAGTGTTCAGGTCCGAAATGAAGTGCGTACGATTTGACATGGAACAAGCAGTTGTCAATCCTAAGTGGCACTGACGACAATCAGGAACTCCTAAATCGTGCATTTATGAAAGACTCTTGCAGCAATGAGGAGATTCTGTAACCACCAGGTCGAAAACTTTTTTTTAACCTGTGCTGACGAATCATGACAAGCTTGAGTAGGAGATAGTGCCGAGTGTCCACTGCTAAAGTTGAAAGAGCAACCTTGAACGCGGCAAATGCTCAAACGGATTCCCGAGCACCTCTTTGGTACTTCTTAGAGTTAACTTGGTGAGGGCTGCTGACGTCCCCTTTGTGCGAACAGTGGATAGGCAGCTGGTTGATGCCAAAAGTCGGCTTCTTGAGCCCAAGTCGTGCTCCCAGTAGATATGAAAGGAATCATCATACTTCGTCAGCTGCTGGCATCCTTATTGGAAGGCTCCGTACAAGTAGAGTCAGGCGCAGTAAGAACCTACGCAGCTTGCCTACACTGCAAGATCAGGCTAACTCCATCTCTCATTCCATTGTTGCATTCATCTGCCAAAAGTTCATTCCATCATTCTGAATATGAAGTTGACCTGAAATCACTCGCATTTGTTGCGTGGCACTACAGGAGCCAGCCAGAGCCATGGGGTGTGGAGCTAGTTCTGAGGCGGCTGCCGGTGCCACTGCTCCACCTGGAGCCCTGGAACAGCCCGTTCTGCGAGAACCAGTCGTAACAGGTGCTGAAGCAGTGGATCACTCCGGAGGCCAAGAGCGCGCGTCGGCATCTATCGAGCCAGTTGAAGAAGTCGAGTATCAGTATGTAAGTCCAAAGCTTCTTCCGGGTTTCAACAACAATTCAGCACAGTGACGAGCACATTCTGAGAATGTAGAATGTCCATCAGTGACTTTGTCAGTACCTACGACACCCTTGGGTTGAGCTTGATTGCGGGACAGATTGAAAACGAGGTGCTCGTATGAAGGAGACAATTACGATGTACTCAAGTGCCATCCGCTTGGGTGAGCGTCCATCTTCTGATTCTAACGAGTCCTGGCTCCTTCTTCAGCAAGTATTCAGTTTTCAGCCCGGAGGCAACCAGGGGAACTGTCCCTAAGGAAGAGTGAGCAACGCGACGTTTCCGCTCAGAAGCCTCAAACGACTCTGCTTTTCCTGGGTTGTTGCTCAACGGTCGGGCCGTTTCACTTCATGATTCTCTGCTTTCCATCGATCATTCCGTTTCTGTTTTGCCTTTTATGTCCGTTCAGGTCCCCATACCCAAGTACGTAGACAAGGCCGTCCTCGAGTTCTTCAAGGGCAACAGTCATGCCGCCGTGGGCAACCTGCAAGAAGCAATCAGGTGCAGCCACGTGGACTTTGCCCCTTTGTACTTTCAACTCGAGGTCGAGAGTTTGCACCGCTGCAAACTCCTACATACCTGGACCAGTGTTCAGAAGCAAGTCTGGAAAAGGACTTGACAGCGGAACGCTTTGCCGCTTCAATGCAGATTCAAGCATCAGATTGTGAATGAATGCTGAGAGCCAAGAGACGCAGCTCCCTTCGTGTATGCTCTGGTAGAAGGACTCTTCTTTGCCCCTGTGTTTGCAGTTGCTTCGATGCGGCCATTAGAGAGAAGCCAGACTACTCGACGGCGTTCCATCAGCGGGGGCTGGCCTTCTTCCAGCTTCTCCGCTACGAACAGGTGCGCTTCATAGCCCGTGCAACGATCTGCTGTGTCCTTTGTCGCCGTTTTGCTTGAGGAGCAAAAAATGGTCCCCGCTGATACAGCCAGCTCTCAAGAAGGAGCTCGTTTCCATACTGCATATTCAACGACTCAAAAATGCTGTCAGACAGCAAGTTCTGCAATTGAAGAGGAGAAGATAGAATGATTCGCTCGCGAGCGTTTTCCAGCCTCTTGCATGTACGAACTTACAACGGGAGGACGGCTCGCTACTATATACCCAACTTCCTATCTTCGACGTGTGTTCTTCTGCCTTTGTTGACGCCAGGTCGGCTTTCATCTGCTGTAGGCGCTGAAAGACTTCGATCGGGCCATCGAGCTGAACCCCTCATACGGGCGAGCTTACAACAGGTCAGAATGCATATGCCTCGGAACGGGGCCCGCTTAATTTAAACGAAAGCAAACGTACTTGTCTAAAAGCAGACTTCCAAAAACGGGGCCTTGGTTTTCCGATCCTGATCGTCCCAATCTGAAGCCACACACTGCCTTCGTGACGCGTGACTGCTTCCACTCGGTTCTCTCCAAAAGCCGCAAGCGCAGTTTGATCGTATTAAAAGCGATTCAAGCGAGTGTGTTCAGAATTTAGAAGGAACTGAACAGGAAGGGTTTGCGGGATGTTTCTACTTAAAACACTTCCAAAAAGATATTATAAGTTGATTGGTCCTGTGACGTATCTGTTTTCGCCACGTGTTGCTCACGCGTTTTGTCCTTTTTATCACAGCCGCGCAGCCGTCCACGTGGAAATGAAAGCGTACTCCAAAGCCGTTGAGGACGCGACGGTGGGGATCAGCCTGAGCCCCAAAGACCCGGAGGGATTTCTTGCTCGGGCCGAGGCGAACTCTGAGTTGGGCGACCTTGAAAAAGGTGACAAGATTTGCCTAAATGAAACAGACACTTTGCAAATTGTACGTGGATAGTCGGCTTTCAACTTCACAGGGAAGCGGCCTACAAGGATAGAGCTCAATGTCTGCTATAATCACAGGCAAGACCTTGTGATCAGTAGTTCTGGGATACGTATCACTGGCAACCATGATGCCTGTTACAGAAGCAACTTCCCTTGTTTACTACGTCTCTTACAGTAGCTTCCCTTGATTGCCCAGATTTGTTGTCAAAACAAGATCCGGAAATACAAAGGTGCCAAAATAAGCAGCCGTATGGTCTTTGCGCGCAGCTGACGCGGATCGGGAGGCAGCCAGCCAGCTGGAGGGAAACAGCCTTTGCAACGTGTGCCTAACGGAGCCCCGAGGTAATGGAGTCAAAAAGCAGAGTTTCTCAGGCCGACTCTGACCTTGCTGAACGAGAGGGCCACTTGAGGTAGATGTTGCTCCATGGCCAAATGTCTGGAGTCAGGAAGGGGGAACAAGTCCTCTGCAAGCAAACCGATACTTGTGTGCTCTACCTGAAAGTGTATTCCACCTCGCAGGCAGCTGACTTCTCATCCATGTCCTTTAGCTTGGTACTCTTAAGTCGTTCATTCAGGCTTCTTATTATATTTCCGGCTCTTACCGCTTTCCCTCTGCTGACCAGACATCGATGAAACCCTGCCTCTTCGTTTGCTACGCTTTGTACTATTACGCAGGTAGTCCTCACGTTAGAGTTTCTGTTTACTCATATTTCCGTCTTTTCCCTCGTTGTCTAGGGACCCGGTTGCACCCGTGCCTGCACTCGTGCATGTGTGCGAACTGCGCGCGCACGTTGGAGGAGAAGGGCTTCCCGTGCCCGATCTGCCAGGAGCCCATCGCCCACATCGAGTACGGCGTCTTCGACCAAACGTTTGCCTTCTCCACGCTGTATTCAAAAACGGCCAAGAACCCGATAAAGTCGCTGATAGGGCAAATGAGTGGGCTGCCGGAAGAGGAGACGATACAGGAAGGGGACGAGGAAGATCCTGAAGACCATACAAATCATGAAGCAGAGCAAATTTCTTGAGTATTAAACGGGGCTTATGCGACATGCGGTCGACCGATTTGAGGCGTGCGGGCCCATCCGCCAAGCTTCTAGATACGCTGCAATGAGCGGGTCATGTTGTATTTTTGAAGGAGCTTGACCCCATTTCATCGATTACATTACATGTTCTCTGCACATGAGTATATGCTCCTAATGCGATTCTTACTGAGGCCGGACTGCCGATCTCACAACGGCTTCAATCAGGGCGCCGGGCCGCGGCCCGGCCCAGGCACCAAACATCACAGCTCGAACCAAATAGCTCCTAATATGGTATGCGGACGGCAACGTAAGAGAATTTGCCTTGGCACCGCGTGTGTATGCAACGATTTCAGAATGCCTGGTCGGCGGCCCGGACAAAGCTGTAAATCAAGCGCCATCAAACAGCTATGTCCTTAACATCAAATTACCTAGAGTAATTCAATGGCCACTGAGTGATTGATGATAAGAGGTGCATCGGTAACGTCCCTGAGTCAGTACACGCTGAGCTGCGTGACGTGTGATCGATCTTCGCGATCAAGCTTTGTGGCACGTTGCAACAAGCGCGGGACGTTCTTGAAAATGAATGAGCTTGACCACAATACATATGATGATGATTCCTAAGTAGGCTGATCGAGTCCCGGCGAAACGCAAGGCCAAATCGCCCTTCGCGCCATACACAATATCAAGACGGTCTGAGCATGATGTGATAGAGCTAGCAGCAACATTCTGCAAAGATCGACGCTAATGGGATGACAACATTCAATCTACACAATACGTCTACTATGAGAGGTCTCGTCCACCATGAAGGACGACTGTGTGTTGCCCGGATACTAGGCAACAACAAGGTAAAGAAAGCGCACGTTCAGGAAGAGCTTAATCAACAGGCGCCAATGTTAAGGTCGATCCCGGTCATAGCAGATCAATCACGCCCGTATCAACGTCTTCCGTTTCCTTCTCTTCCGGTAACCGTTTCTTTCTGCTGCCGTGGTCGCCGTCCTCTTCATCCCGCTTCCGCTTCCCCGCTTTCGCGCTTGTTTCCTGGACTGCGTCTACTTCCTGGACCGCATTGTCTATAATTGTGAGGTCATCGTCGTCATCCTCTGCCGCCTCTGTGCCATTGGCCGTCCCCTCGCCGGCTTTAACGGCAGGAATCTCGCCCCGCAGCACCATCATGTCCGGCTCCTTCTCCTCGTCGAACACGTCCCTGCAAACGACAGTCTTTCAGGGTCAGAGTTCATCAGATAAGATTGAAAGCCCGGACCCCTCTCCAAAGGTTAAGCCTAAGAAGCGTCTTAGCAGGTCAGGGAAAATCCAAATGCAATCCGGCGTAGATTGGCCGACACAGATCGAACATACGTCATCTAACACGTATGTTCGATCTGGATGATGATGATGTTTAACAACTCCTCATAACACTCCTGATCACACGGGACCCGTTGCCGCCAAGCTTCATATGTCCTGAAAAGGCATGTGCTTTAGACTGGCTGCCTTACCTGTGCACGATGTGGAGCGTACACCGAAAGTCCTGCTGGCTGTCGTCAATGCTGACAAGAGAGTTATGTCCGATCGGCGTCGGGAACTGTGACAAGACCTGGAAGAGCGCACAGACGTGCGCGTATTAGCTATTCGTCGCAAGCTCTGTGAGCAGCCAGACTTGGAGGAGGGTTTTGCAATGCTTCTTCCCAAGCTGTCTGTCTGTGGCCGCAACTCAGGAACCTTCACAAATGTGAGAGGCGGGGTCGGGGAGAGTCCGTAATTTGAATAGAGGTTGGCGACCCTGTTAGGAGTGATGGTTTGGCAGAGTTTAAGAGGCAGAGCACTGGTCTGGGCGTCTCTCGATCAACCGCTAGTGAAACTCCCAGTCCACTTAAGAGGGATAGTACTTAGATAGGCGCCCGGGAGGCGGATGGGGTTGATTGGTTGGTTAGGGTGGGTTCGGGTGCGGAGCGTGTAAATGTTTGGGTTAGGGTTCTAAGTTCAGAGTGCCCGGGTGACTCGTATCTTAAGCGAAATGGGTCTTTAATAAAAAGGACTTACCAATATCGACCAACCAGAATTGCGACTGCCCCGTTAAATCCAGACCCCGCCACGTCATCACTTCCAACAGGATTCCCGGCCTCGGTCCCAATTCACTGATTCTTCTTGCTCCCGCTCTGAAAGCAAAACGCTTGGCCTATGGAATCAAAGCCGCTGCTATGACCACCCCTTTGCAGACTCTACATAAAAAGCAGCCAGCCTGTTCCAACAAACTCTCAACCAGAGTGGTGCAAAGGAAGAGGAAACTGGTCCCCGACTGGCGGGGTTCATGAAAGTGTGAAGGAGGGCCCCTGTCAGAGTAGGATTGCTCCTTCTTTTTCTCCAGGATTTCACCCATGAGTAGCCAGACGCGGCGGGCAAAGTTGCTCATTCTGTCAAAAAGCTCCGATCAGAACCTCTGAATGAACCCTTTTTCAGGACTCACCTTACATGTGCATTCAATTATGCCCGGGCAGAGGGGCTTTGGATCACGAAACAAGAACAGCCGTTCCATCTCCGTGACCGAGTGCGACGCACCTTTGCCGAGCCTGCCGCTCGTACCAGAAGCACATTCAAGCATTTTGAGCCGAACGTGTCCGCCTTCGTGGGAAAGGCCTCGTCCTATTTGTGACAAAGTGTAACGCACCTCTGCCACGTTTGCCACTGATTTCGCTCCTCCTTTCAAAGCAGCTCGATAATCTTAGAGCCGACCCGATTCATGGGGGAATATCTGCAAACCTGCGACCATTTGTGACGCACCTTGGCCGCGTTTGCCGCGTAGCTTCGCTGCTCGTCCTCATCGAGGTCGTCCCCCGTCTCATAAAGGATTGAGTTGCCGAAGAGGACCATAGGCGACACAACCGCCAGCTTCTTCTTCACAATCTGCACATTCGGCGATCTTTTAACTAAGCTTAGACATGTACTACGGGCGGACTAACAGCGGGTTTGTGGGACGCTTTGAGTAGCAAATGATTGCGACACGCGGCCAGCTTCTTCTTGACAATCTGCACGTACGGCAATGTTGTGACAAGGGTTCGACATGACTACGGGCGGATTAACTGCGGTTTGTGCAACACTTAGGCGGAGACTGTCCCCACCATGGGCGACACAACGGCCAGCTTCTCTTTCACAATCTGCAAGTTCGGCAATGTTGTGAATAACGTTAGACGCGTACATGCGGATCCAAAGCGGGTTTGTGGGACAGTCAAGGAGCGACTGCACAGTCCCCACCGTAAGCGACACAACGGCCAGCTTCTCTTCACTCATAATCTGCAGTGAGGTCGATGCCGTGATCTGAATGGTATTATGGGCGGATTAGCAGCGGGTTTGTAGGAGACTGAAGAGGCGGATGGTAGGTTTCTAGTTTCTTCTTGGAGCCTGCGATTGTGTGGATCGATGGATAAGCGATGGATACTCGTGTTTTTCTCGGGTTGACAGCGGGTTAGTGCAAGAAAAGCATCCGTGTGTCGGCGGAATCAGCATCGACTTGTGCGACAAACCACAAATAGGTTGTAATTTGAGCACGTTACCGCAGGATTGTGCGTAAGGTGTGGGGAGGATCCAAGGGTGGATCTCACAATGGTTGGGCGGTTGCTTAGATCCGGCAAGCAGTCGAAGCAGAAGTCTACAGTTATTCGGAAACATCAGACTAGGTTTTCTGCGTGTAGACTCATGGTCCAATCGGCGCTGCGCACTCGTAAGGCTTTGTCTCGAAGCGACTCAAATATGTCAAATCGCCTGTGCGACGCTGTCAACACCCAAGAATTTACAAACCGTCGGTAAGTCAAAAGGATGGAGGAAAGCTTGTCGTGAAAGTTGAACATGGATAACCATGAAATCAGAGTCAGAAGGAATCCAACATAAGGTCAGAAAGGGCGACCGTACCTTCTGCAGCACCTCCCCCAGGGTCGCCTTGTTGGTGTCGACCTCCAGAAAAAGCGGAGTGTCCGAGCAGACGTAGCACTTGGGGTTGGGGGGGTTCGGGTCGATGCTCCACAACAGCATCTTCCGCCGAAGGAACTGTTCACACCAGTGGGTCCTGCAGGAAGCAAGCGAGGTGTGAATACGTTTGTAAAGCCTTCTCAGGACTGTCGTAGTCAACAATTGACGCTCTGCAAAGACGAAGCAAGATCAAACGAACTGGTGGCACGCTTTTGAAAACTGTCTATGCCAGTGAGGTCTGCTTCTTGTGAGCAAAGTGAGATGAACACGTGGCCATTTCGCCATAACAAACTTTCTCACATCAGTGGGTTCGGAAGGAAGCAGTCAATGTGAAAATCAGCTCGCGTAAATGATTTGGGTTGTTCAAACTTGCCTTTTTCAGTGGTTTGCGAGAAGGCAGAGAGGAGGCGGTAAACCCCAAGGTCTTCTCGATACGAGGTAACGTATGGGGAGATTTAAACCGATCGAAAAAGCTGCAGTAAAGGAATTGCGCCTGGGCTCAACTAAAGTGACCGCAGAAACCCATCGGCCGATCTTTCCCGGTTAAAGCCAATCGATCAAAGAAATTTCTTCGGTCATAAAGATGCTGGTGGCGTTCGCCTTACTTGAGTTTGTCCATCTGGCCCGTGACGATCTTGGTTGCCTCGATAACGATCATCCCCGCAACGATCGCGTTTGTGGTGGCAATGGCGTGCACGATGTTGCCCGCGATGCCCTTGGCCGCAAAAAGGCTCTGCATGTGGAGCTTCTCAAGCATGAGTGACATTCTGAAACAAATTATCTTATCATACTACCCAAAAGGCTCTGCATGAGGAGGTTCGCAAGATCAAGTGACCCTGAAAATGAGATTTTCTATGAGGAACACATGCGGTAGCGCGGTTGGAAAGGAGGAACTTCAAATGGAAGAGGGGGAGGTAATTGGGGGGGTGTGGAGCGGGGCAACAGAAACCAGAGTCAGTTTCTCGCGATGCCCTTGGCCGCAAAAAGGCTCTACATGTGGAGGTCCTCAAGAATGAATAAGCGACTTGACCACGTGGTGTCAGATGCGGGATAAGGCAGTCCTAACGTCGAAATCGGAGAACCGATTGACGAGGCGCTGGAAGAAAAGAAACACAGCACAGTGTTTTAAACGAAGCAGGGAACCAGTAGATAAGCCCCCAATAAAGTCTGAGGATCGAGTAGGTAGGATCAAGAAAGAGACCGCAAGTTTGTTTAACCCGTTCTTGAAAGCGAGAAGCTGTTTGGAGAAGGAGCCACCTCTAGCCTGGTACGCACTCAATAGGAAGGATGAACGCGTCCGAGCAACGAGAGCGAAAAGAAAGGGAACCCCGTCCGTATTCCGCACCTGCGTTTGGATTCCAAACGAGATGTCCCGCAGGTTGGAAGCTGACGTCACAAACTCGACGGCGAGGGTATCGTCCTTGTCGAAGCGCAGGCTTCCGATCTCGGACGCCCGCTCCTCCAAGAACAGCCGCACGGACTCGAGGAACACGCGCGCATTCTCTTGCAGGCTCCACACCTGCTCGCGTTTCCAACCAGCGCCGTGAGACCCGTTGCCATCTCTTCAACACCGCTGACTTTTCCAACGAATGGAACGGAGAAGAACAAGTTTCCATGATTATCGCCTCCATTTTACCCGTATGATCCGTTATTCATACAGTCTGCCCTCATCGAAGCTTGCTGAAACAGACCGTCGAGACGGTGTGCAGTTAAGGCATCCGGCCGTATCCTCACTTTCAAGATTCTCTTACGTCTTGCAACAGTCCAAAACCCAACCTCTCACACTAATCAGCATGCAACCAAGGAGAACGGTTGGCACGCTGAGAACCAAAATGCGGTTCAGCTTCGCGCTCCATGAAAGCAGCGGCGGGGAGAGAAGACTCGCAAAGCTCGACGCTGAAACCTAAGCACTCTTTGTACGATTACAATCGGAAATGGAAATCCGGCACCATACAGCCGGTATTCTTGTCCTCGCTTTCTCTCTTTTTGAGGGAAATAATCAGGAGGTGATGATCTCAATGACTGAACCGAATGTGAAGTAACCGCTGTCGTCACCTGGTTGGTATCCCGCAACCCCAGATTGCTCGCGGCAGACACGCTTCTCTCCTCGTCGCCGGCGTTTGCACCCTCTGTGCGCGGCCGTTTCGCGGGCGGCTCGGACGTCTCGGGCAGAACCTGCGGAGCGTAGCGACAGAATGAGGTGCAGCCCATGTTGCGTTGACTCGCACTTCTCCCTCTATTTGGGGCATATCCAACTTGGATCCTGCGCTGATATTTTCCAACACCCCTGTGATTGTGAACTTTTCTGATTGGGACCTTTTCAAGCGTCAGCAAAGGCAAGATCAGCAGAGAATCTCAGAAACGGGCAGTCGTTCTGACCTCCGTTGAAAGTGAGGCTGGAAGGCTTTCCTTCTGCGTGGAATCCTTTCTGACCGCTGCCTAGCGAATTAGTAATGCTGGCGCGCGAAAGCGGAAGTCCGACGAAGGTCATTCTCTGGTTACCCACGATAGGATTTTGGAGAGGCAAATGAGACGCCTTTGAAGAGCCAAAACTGTCAAACCAACTAACGGTAGAATAGGTTGAGAAAACTTGCCTCGTCTATGTACAGGGGTTTTGGTCGCTGCCGGTTCTTCCACAAGTCGTCCATCTCCAGGGTCTTGGCAACGTTGTGGCCAAACACTTTGTCGAACACCTGCAATTGCGGCCCGCATGAAACCTGATCAAGGTTTTGGAACCAAACGTCCGCTTCTTCATCCAAACGGGGAGCTTTGGATGGAGTCTTTGCGGTGCTTCGCACGTTGGTTGTGAGAGCGCGTGGCATCATGCTGCCGGATCGACTGAAAATTTCTCTCCGATTCCATCTACTCCCGTACATTTCCTGTCCGGCTGATGATACCAAGAAGACCGCTTAAGGGGATAATGCCTGGAGGTTGCACAGTATCGGCCTTGCGCCCTAGACCGCCTTTCGAGATGCATTCGTACGCTCACACCCCTGTGAACGCACTATTGCGAACAACGTGGTTCACAGGGGGACATTACTGGCAGTCGCAAGTCCAATGTTCGTGAATTAGATTTACTTCCGCAGACTACCAACCCAGAGTTGCTTTTCGACGATCTCATCAACCTCAGCAACTCACCCTGCATGCGTATGCCGTCGGCGTCTCGTTCTCTTTGACACGGTGCCAGTTGGTGTCCTCTTCTAACGGCTCCTCTGCCTGGTCGTCGGAGCGCATGTCCAAATCGTTGGCTAACCCGGCCTCCCCGAATAACTTCGCGAACGGCAGCTCCTTAGCCCACACGATGCAATGCACCGGCTGATTGAGAGGGGACGAATAGTTCAGTGATCCCCAAAGCTATTCAGAGACTTCGGGTTGGAAAGTTGGCAGCTGGGGAAACGGAGTGACTCGCGAAAGGGTGCGTGCTTTAGCAATTTGGCGATTTGGCGAGTATAGAAACACCTCATGAGTAGCAGTGTTGACTACCACGGGCTCTTTACTTGAACGGATGAAGGCACTTCACTGAATTTTCCGAGTCGATCCATTGAAAAGTTCGCATCACACACATGTTTTCAAGTCCTAGTTGTGCAACTCCAGCTCCAAAAGCCCAGAATAGGCCTGACAGAAAACAGGCCCGTTAAAACATGCTGCGAGATCCGGATGTCTCTAGTGCTGACTCACCTGACTAGGAGTGTTTGTGATGGTGCAAGTTGGGAAGGACTTGGGAGGGGGCGGGGGGTAGCACTCGAAGCAGGTGAACCGGCCCTTGATGTGAACGTCCGCCTGGCCAACGTAACCAGTGGTGCCGCTCTCAACAAGAGGCACCCCTGCTGCCAGGCAGAGCCTATTCACATGGCGCCGCGCCTCGACGTTGTCCAGCCCGTTCAAAACGACCTGCAAAAACGGCGTCCGATGAAACAAGATCGTATCGTGTAGCTGACCCGTCACTGCATGATCAGTCAGAACCTGAGGTATCAGTTCGCAAACTTGAGTTTGGCAATGAGAGAAAGAGGCTGGAGATCGTTTATCATACAGTTTGCTGTACGTTGGAGTACTCAAAAGACGGCAGTGTTGGTCAAATAGCAGACGCATAATAGACTCAGGGGGTCAGCTTCTCAAAGACGAAGATGACATCAGCTGACCCCCATTGAAGCTTGCCAGAAAGAGATGCTTAGTATGTGCCAGGAAGGACTTCGTTTGGGGCTTTAGTCAGCCCTGCCTCGTCCAATCTTAGATGTCCTCTCTGCAGTTGGCCAATTATTTCAGGACTTACAATTGCCACCATGGAACAAGTGTCCAGCATACTTGAGCGTATATACAGACAATTGTAATATGTGCGTGGCACTTCGATTCTGCATTGCGAAGCCTCTGGACTGGCAGATTCGGAAGCCGGCTTGGCACTTCTTCTTAACCAACAAAACCCTCTTCCTGGCGCCAGCAGAGAGTCAGGCATGATGCCTGTGATTAAACAAACAGAAGAAGGGTGCATCAAAATCCTCACGAGCGATGAAGGCAGAAGATAGATTGGCTCACAGTGAAGCGCTTGATGAAGTCGATGTCGAACTGGGGGTCCTTGACATTTGCATGGTGCGCCACAATCTTTGCATCAGGGCGGAACTTCAGGACTGCTTCTCGCGCCACCTGGAGAAGCCATCACACTTTAGCAACTTGGACAATGGCATGATATCAAGAGCAAGGGGAAAGGCTCTCCAAAAGAGTTGAGAATGAGTGCGGTTCTAAGTGCATACATCAAGAGCAAGGAGAAAGACTCCCCGAACGAGTCCAATTCAAAGAAATCAAGTGCAGTAATGAGAGCTCTCTCCAAATGCGTTGAGCCTCTCAGGAGCTGGACAGATGTCTTTGAATTCGAATCAGCAGCCCCTACCTCAGTTTCCAACTCTGCCTGACCAGTCAAGTTCCACAGAGTCTCACAGGGTCAATGTGCCCCCGCATTTTGTGCGGAAAGCAACTCAAGAGACTGACTAGAGGGTCGTTGAGGGGGCGAAGGAAATATTACCTGCGCTTTTGATTGGCCCACGTGCTTCTTCCGAAACAGGAACTGCCTGTTCAGGTTGCTAACCTCAATTGTGTCCATATCGATCTGCAGAAAACGCCCACTATGTCAAAAACATTGTGTGCCTTCCTGACACCAGCCCTCAAGGCGTTTGAAGGCTCTCTTCAGAACATTACAGGACTTCTGCTGACAGCGCTGCAAACTTCCCGCAATGTTCATCAATCTGAGAGATGTGCCGGGACCTGGTGATCGTGACAAAATATTCAAGCGAGCTGGCAGAGGGATCAAGCACCCAGTGGTAAAGCGAACTTACCAGCTCGATATCTTGGAATCCTGACATGACCAGAGTTTTCAGCAGCTCGCACCCTATGCCCCCTGCTCCCACCATCAGCACTTTTGCAACCTGCAGGTTGAACAGCGACGGGTTCTTCATCTATAGGCTACCTTGATTCTGGAAGTCTGCAAGAGAGCTCCTGCTCCAACGAGCTTGCCTTTATGACTGTCATGACGTATACTCTAAACACTTTGACAAAAACCTCAGGGCAAAAAATGTTAGCGAGAAGTTGAAATCAGGAACTGCCACCGATGGAACCTTCCTAGCATTGTGATTCCCAATGAGCTGCATCCAGTGCTTGCATTGAACAATCAGGCTCTATCGATTGTCTCCTTGGCCATAAGGAAAGCTTCTGAATTCGCTTTTGGGAACATAATAGATTACTCAAAGACTTACCTTGATTGCATCGCGTTCTGCTTTTGAAGCCATCTTGGGCCTCTATCCTTGTCGCCGCCCGCTTTCAATTACAAGTAGTGATCTGTGAGAGATGGTGTGGAAAAACCAGGTGTACCGGATTACTCTCTGTTAAGAATTACCAGGTCAAACCATGCAGCACTGAGCAGATGCTGCTCCAGGACATTTGCAGCTGTAGACCCCCCTAATGTTTGGGGGAGAATTGATGCATGCGCAGCCACTATGGATCCTATAGGACATCCGCAGCTTCCTTGTCTTCAGATAAAAATATCCCTTTCCCTTTGAAATCCTGGACTACAGTGACCCAGCAAGCAAAAACTCCTTAAAATGGCCTTCACCGCTTGCAAAGGACAACAGATCTACACCAGTGGCAGTAGGTAGATAAGAGCAGCTTCTCTTGTGCTTCTCTCTTTGACTTTGCTCAGCTTTGAAGTTTGCGGTGTTCCCTTTGGACAAATTTGGCGGGAAGCGGACTGAAGCGTTACCATCCTTTACCGTGCAGGCAATGTGCAAGCTCCGCCGCCGGATGACAGGCCGAGGCCCTCAAGGGCTTCTGAGCCGTTGGATTGCGCTGAAGACCCGGAACCTGCCGCGCACCTTCGAAGATTTCGCGCGGTTGCATGAGCAGGACCATGATCTACCGGTATTTGTAAATTGTAGACACCTGTGTGCTGCTTTTACACTGGAGAAAGTGCAGGCCGTTGCAACTTCCCTTCTGCACTCGGGCTTCTGCTGCCTTCTCAAGCCGGTTTGAATGTGCCGCAGCCTCACGAGGGAAGTCTACCAAGAGTAACATATGCAGGCCCTTACAATCTCGTGTTCAAAGCGGCTGGTTCCTTAGATTGCGTAGGAACGAAGGCTCTTTCAATCTTTTTTGGCTTGAGACGTGCATAGGGTTCATCCCTTTCTTCGCTAGCGCTCCGTCCGGATTGTAGGGGTACTTTCACTTCCAAGGTCCGCAGGGGCAGCAAATTCCCCGTGTTTTAGATGCGGCCCAGAGCATTTTCATGCTCCAGGGAGTGAGGAATTGTTTGAACACATTAAGGCGTTCCACATCTGCAAAGTGTTGCACTGTCGCAGCAATTTGTCGCCAGCTGCTATTCAACAACTCTGAGCTTTCCTCCAAGTGCTGCCATTGTTCAATCGGCAGCCCCTGATTATGCTTGCAATCTTGGCGTCATAAGCAGTTTCTGCTGGCCTTCATAAGCAGGTTGGTGTAAAGAAAGCAGAATTAAAATAGCTGAAGTAGGATTTGAGATAATGGCAGCAGGTTGATCTGAGGACCAGAGACGGCAGTGTAATTTTAGTTTCTGAACAGACATTGGGGCAGCTTCAAGGAAGGTTAAATTCGACCGGTTTGATTACCTCTCAGCTAATATCGTAATTGACAGATGGCTTCCGTCATGGTGGACCTGCAAGTGTCTGCCAATTCCCGGTGGCCGTGGAGTGGCCCGGGCCTCTCAGTTGGATCATCTGCAGTCTCCATCCTGCTCTCCAATGTTCCTGCTAACAGCCCTGCCTGTGAGGGCCTTAGTGAGCACGTCACAGAGTGCTTAGATATCCCAGCAGCCATTCAAAGGCTGCAGGCGCCCCGGTTCGAGGAGCTCAATGACGACCATGTGATGGAATTTGTGAAGCACGACATAACACGGGGGAAGTGGTGAGTTCTCGGGTGCTAGGTGCTTTGCGGTTACTTCTGCTTTCCGAATGTAATATGGCTGGTTGACAAAAGGGCTGCATGCTGGGGAGCACAACAGGCAGAACATATCAAAGGATCGGAGGGGAAGCAAAAGGCCACCTGAGCATACAGCATCTGATGGTTACATGCAATGTGTCCAACGTCCTGTGGTGAATATCTCTTTGCGAACCAGAGTCTGTGAAAGCTTGCAAATGGGGGGGATTCTTGTGTCAAGCACTGGATTCATGAGGATTGAATGCAATCATGAGGCATCGAATGTAGCATTCTCAGAGTTAGCTCTGTGTGTGCAAAAATTGCAGCCAAAGCCATCACGTTCGCTGCTTGCGAACAACTTTGCCGGGCTTGCTGATCCACTTTCAGTGACATTTCGCTTCCTCTTCACATGCTTTTTGAAAATTGTCTGCAGATCTGCATCTTGTCACCATGTTGCGATCGGCCAGGCAACTGCTGCTCATTCAGAACTCGCAGACGCAGCTGTCAATCCTGGCAGCCAGTCGCTGAACAGAGTTCACATCCTCCTCCACACTGTGCATTCTGACCCTCTTCTGGGTATCTTCTCCCAGGTTCCACCTTGATGCCGAGTCGCTCACCATCTTCCAAGAGACCGACGAACTCGTCGACCTTTCAAGTGGGGCGCCCGTTCAGATTCTGAACCAACACACCGTCCATCTCACAATCCTCCCCTCCCCCCTTCCCCAAGATCGAGGGGGCCGGATATTCATCTCTTATGGGGGCAAGACGAAGCAGCTTGTGGTACCCTTTGTGAAGCCGACAGATACTATCCGCGATCTTAAAGCAAGGGTAGAGAAAGTGCTGGGGGTGCCTTCCGCATCCCAAAAGCTGATGTTCGGGTGGCGGGAACTGTACGACGACCGGGCCACTGTAGAGGAGTGCGGGCTAGTCCAGAACAGCATAGTCGTACTCGAACCGAAGCTGTCGGAAAAGGGTGGTGTTGAAGCGAAGCCGTACAAGATCTTCGTATCGCTGCTGGATGGCACTCGCATGGAGCTGCAAGTAAGTTCAGTCAATTCCCTCAAAACGATTTCTGGACCAGCTTTTACACTAGTCTTGAAGGCAATTGCTTTGTGTATGTCAAGATCGATTTAGCAAGGGGGGTCCCAATCAGAAAGTTCTGGATGCATTTTCTAGAGGTTGTGAGCAGAAGCTGACTGCTTTGAATGTCCGTCCTGAATGTTCGAAAGTTGGGCTTAAACTCATCGACACAGTTAATGATCAAAGTAATGGTTCCTGCCGAAGTCTCAAAGCCCCGTTGAGAACCACTTGATGAGATCTTACCTTTGATGCCCTGGACAACGATGGAGTCTTTTGGATCCAGTTCAGTGTATTCCTACTTTCTACAGATCTCTTCAAACATGTCATGCTTGTACTCTCCCAAACTCAAATCACATCGGTTTGACCCAGCTTTTGCCTTTTTAGGTGGCAAACTTTCAAAACTGTCCGGCTCACCGCATCTTCAATCTACTAAACCCCTTTGCCTTTTCGGGGCTGCGACCAACTGTTTCGTCAGAAACCGACTACAATTTCACAGCCATTTAAGCAATGTGCGTATCTCGTTAGACCTGAGCTCATTTTCGCTGACTCTGCTGCCATGTGCGTGGCTGCAAATGCTTCAGTGCGCGAAATAATACTGACGCAAATCCCGTTTGGGCACGAACCTCATTCTTGAGTGATCTTCAGCACCTGACAACCATCTTTCTTAGCCTTTAAACCTTGCTCCAAATCTCCCTGCTAGGTGACAGCTTGAACGAAAGCATTGGCTCAGGCACCTGAAAACACCCTTGAATCTGGGTATTCTTTAATCAACTCAGCCGCCCAATCACTGAGCACTGCTACGTGCACAGCTGAGACTGTGTGGGCGCCTTGAAGAAGTGCTTCCAATCTCATACAGTGTCCCTTTCTACTGCCAAGCTTCTTTCATCTCCACAAACCCGCTCTGACCTTCTTTGCGTTGCAATGAGCTCTTGCAACTCGAAAAATTGGCAAAAAGCATACCTTGTCGACCGGAAGGGCTCCCAAATCAGCGAAGTAGTACCTAAGCTTGTTCCATTTCTCGCTAATATCCATCCAACTCAGCGCAAACATTGTAACCAGGTGCGCGGCTGCGATCGGGTGGGCTTCGTGAAGGAGCGCATCCAGGACGCGCATGGGACGCGCGCGGCAGATCAGCAAATCAAGTTCCGGGGAAAGAATCTAGACGACCATCGGATGCTAAAGGACTGCGGAGTCACGAAAGAGCAAACCCTGCACTCGATGCTGAAGCTCCGGATGGTTACGAAGAAGCAGATCGCGGCGGGAAATCTTCTCAGGCTAGTCGTCGTCCGGGACGGAAAGGAGATTGACAAAGTCGAGGTCGCGTTCAAGGACACTGATACGGTGGCGGATGTCAAGTTGCGGCTGCGGGCGCAGCATGGGTCCTTGTTGGGCACGGGGGAAGCGCAGGGGGGAGGGATCGCGGCGGGCGGCAGCGGGGGTGCGAAAGAGTTCGAGGAGCTACAGAGAAAGTACGAGAAAATGGTCGAAGAGATGGCGCGAATGCAGAAGCACCTATCGAGTCGGGGGGAGGGAAGTGGGGCCCATGCAAGCCCGACAGAACCCCAGCCGGCGGCCGGTTCGAGCGGAGGGTGGGGAAACCAGAGCGATGCCCGCCCTGGAATAGATTCTGCCGAGGCATGCATGCCTATGGAGGACGCGGTGCTGAGTGAGAGGGGGCTGCGGAAGATGGAGTACCCCCCTGGTTGGAAACCCATCTTTGCGACTGGGGTGTCCGACGACGGCGCCCCACTAGCCACTGCAATGAGTGATCCGGCGGTTTTTGCTGTGGGGCCCGAGCGGGGGATTGACAGGCCCAACGGAAGCCCACTGACGCCTCTCGACTTTTCAGACTTAATCGGAGCTAGGAGGACCAGTCCAGACGGGCAAGCTGAGTCGGGGCCTGCGGACTCTGTGGCTCAGGAGCCCGGTCCGTTCGACCACTACGAACAGCTTTTAAGCCGGCCCAGTACGGCTCCGAGCGCGGTCTCTTTGCAGGCCTCGAAGAAGGTAGAGACGGTGGGCGACTCGATCTTGAGGAAGTATCTACAGGAAGCCAGTATTTCTGACCTTGATTGACAGGAACGGGGACTTCAACAAGCTGCCTTGCAAGTCTCCTTATGTCCGCTCGTTACAGATCGTGACTTTTCGGCTGGGAGACTACTGTCATTCATCGCGTTACATATGACACCCTGGCTTGGGTACTTTGTCGTTCGTTGGCCGGCTCTCCTGTGATTCCAAGAAGGGAGACTAAAACCATGCAGTTCTTCATGTACGAGAAGTATGTCATGTTGTTGCCTTGCCTTTGCAGTGATAATGCTTATTTCAGTGTACTACATGCTGGCGGCCTTCCGTATAGCGTACTTTTAAACACATAAGTCTTTGTCATACGGAGTCCACTGCATGGATGCTGCGCAGCCATCTAGTCATCTAAATGAACCAATCAATTGAAATATACGTAGTTAAACCGTCACTACTGCATACATCTAACGATAGGTGTGTAGTCAAGCTGCAACATGCGCACGTACAACTTGACTTTGAACATGCAAGCCATATATCAACTGTGGCATTCGGCGCAAGTTCATCCTGATACTACTATAGTACTAACTGCAAGTCTAGCATGCTTCGTTCATATAAGTCGGTGGAGGGTAGCAGAGCCACAATCGCCGGGCGACATGCTAGCCTCTCAAACAACGATGCGCAATCTTGAGTCCATGAAAAATGGAAGACGTCTCCTCAAGCATTTGCGTGTGTGAAACAAAATGTCAAACAGGTGAGTAAGCACTGATGTTACAAAAGGACGATGATAGCCAAAAGCTGAAAGCACAACCCCAAAGCTGTTCTTCCGAGCTTCCGCCCACGGTTGCCAAGGCAGTGGCGTAGGCTAACTACAAACGACGTCCACGGCGTCCACCCTTTCTTCTTGTGCTGTCGGTGGGGATGGGAGTAACGTCCTCTGGAGGACGAAACAAGATGCGTGTAAGGAAGACGAGCAAGCTTGGTCTGATGTGTGCGTCAACAGGCCAACTTCCAACTTTATTGATTCGAAACTTTGTCCAAGTTCAGAGACACCGAGGACCCATGAAGAATGCCAAGCAACCCACCCAAAGGTTCCCACGCATCTCACAGATTTGCACCAGATAAAAACATTGGCTGGTTGCTTCTCCGCCAATATCCAACTACAAAGCCAAACTAAATCAGAAAGAAGAAGCAGACAAGATGCAAAAGGCGAGAAGGGCCGGCCAGCTCACCAATCCTGCCAATCTTCATGCCGGAGCGGGCCAGGGCACGAAGAGCAGACTGGGCCCCAGGGCCGGGCGTCTTGGTCTTGTTGCCGCCAGTGGCGCGCAGCTTGATGTGGAGGGCAGTGATACCGAGCTCCTGAACACAAATCAATCAATGTTCATAACAGAACTGTGTAGGCGTTCCCGGTCCTTACAACAAGATAGCACTCAGTCACCCGCAAAAATTCTGTGAAAGCGCGTCAAATAGACGCGTCCCAATGGAGCGCAACGAGTGCTGGGATTGAAGAACAGACTGGCCGAGGTCCTGCTCGTCTGAGCGCACGTTTTGCCCAAGACACCAAGCTCTCAGGCAGGCTGACAGCGCCCGCCAAAACCGGTTTCAGCTTGTCAATCCGTTTACGTCGCTCTCCAAGCTCTCTCGCCCAACCTGAGTTTCTCATGACACTTGCAGCTCAAAGTAGTTCCCAGACCCTCGATACAAGTAAAGCAATCTGGCGCCGACCCACACAGCTCCTCCGGCCACATCCAGAACAGGACGTACCTTGCACCTCGCTGCCGCATCCTGGGCCGCAAGCATAGCTGCGTAAGGGGACGACTCGTCACGGTCCGCCTTCACCTTCATCCCTCCTGCAATTCCAAGGACATTAGCTGAGTAAGTCAGACGTCAAATGCAACTTCAAACAACGCCCCTGTTTCAGCCGCCTTCTATAGCTGCTGGGCAAGATTGCTTCCGAAGCAATCTGTGGCTCAAGGTCTCCAAATAGTGCCTGCCTTCGGACTTCAAAACTGGTGCGCAATCGAACCTGATACATATACGGCACGCGGTTGAGCACAGGGGAGAAAATGGTACCACTATGGAGCACTTCGTGGAGTATAACGGAGGCGCCTCCTATGCAAATATTCCGTTCAGCTTCCCACTAGGGCCTAAGAACTGATGCCGTAAAGAGCTGCAGAATCACCTTGCTAGTCGTTGATATTTGCAAATTGTTTCAGCAAGGAAGCTCTGCTCACCGGTGATACGGGTGATGGTTTCCTTGCCAGACAGATCAGTCACGTGCTGCAGTTGGAGAACTTAAGATGATCAGAAACAGACTTCAAACCCTTGGAGACTGTGGTTGTTGGCAGCAGCTGCTTTGATTAATTCTGCTGCTTCTCTAACCTTTTTTGACAGTTTTTTGCTTAAATTCGTTCACAACTTGGCAAGCTGATCCAAGACAAAAAACTTGCAATTGTCACATTGATTTGCGTACTCTGCTTCACAGCTCGGTAGAAGATCAAGACAGAATCGTACGACTGCACAGCACAAACAAAGCAACTGCGAACACTGGAATTACTTTAAAGAGGAGCCCGAGGAGACTAACCTAGGAAGTTACTAATCTACCAAGCATGTGACTGGTGGTAGTATGCGAGAGGCACTTCCATTTGGCTTCCCAAAGCATAGCTGCCGGTGAGCCATTGGAGTGCCAAAACGACGATTGGATGGCGACCATTACCAGAAGTCATAAACATGGCATGAGAAAGGCGCACCAATACATCAGAGGGACCACTATGGATTCAGGCACAATTCGAATATTTTGTTGTCATTGTCGGCCAACAATAGCTTACTTGGACACCAAGAACGAAGCTCAGAGGTACTCACCACAAAGGTGTCATTGAAGGACGCAAAGATGTGCGCAACCCCGAAGACATGCTCCCCCTCCCTGACAGTGGGTCCCAGGGTCACGGTCTCCTCCTTGGGAGCCTTAGCCTTGGCCTTGCCCGACTGCAATCGGTGAAAAAACGTTAAAACCAATGACTCTGACAGCACGGAACGGCGCCTTTCTGCTGGGAACTCAGGCTATAAAAGATGGACCCGGATCATTTCATGGCAGCACCAGCTATAATTCCGACCGCTGTCCAGACATTTTCGTGGAAGGGCAACCAAAGAAGGCTGCATAGCTGCCTGCCAGCACTGGCAAACGGACCATTACCGTCTGACTCTCACATCGAGAACCGTTTGAGCAATGTTTAGGCAGATTTGTATGAGTCAAAGGGCAATTTGTATGGCAATGGAAGGTCATTAGTACCAAAGAAGCCTCTACACGGCAGGTTACCAACCCTATCGACCTCCTGCCGCCAACCTTGGGAATCCGACTGCCCGCCTCAATGCATCTCTCTACATCCTTTCGCTCTCAGATGAAGACTGCCTATTCTCGTTCCTGAGGCCAGTCGGAGACCGAACCAAGGGCAGGAGCCCATGAGAAACGACTCACCATGGTGACCGGTCGCCTTCCTCCCTGTTCGAGGTTCAAAGGTGAAAGAGGCCTGCATTCTTCTTCGAAACGGCAATGGTCTGTTCGAAGGGGGTTCAAGGAACGCGCGAGCACGCTCCGGTATAGTAAGTCGTGACTCGCAACTTTGTCCGATCCTTCCAATGCTTGCCAGATGGCAGCCGGACATTGGCGGGAAAGTACACCAAAATAAGTAAGATGCCTGTACGTTGTACCGGACCTTTACCAGGTACCTGATTTTGTCGTGACTTGGAGATCGCCCCAGGGCCCAAGTATGGTAGGCCCGGGCAGTACTAGGCTCGCGAGCCTTGGCGGTACCTATTGTGTGACTTACCCATGTAACTTTCAGGCTACCCGGGCACACAAACAAAAAACCCTAACCGCTATAAAGTAGGTAGGCGCCTCGCACCCAAACCCTAGTTTCCGTAACCACCTTCCGTTACCTACCCCACCCGTCTCCCGGGAGCATATCGCTCTCCGCTCGAGTCCGGGTCGGACGTTTAAGCCGGTACGGCGCCAGTTCCGGAGTTCTTGGAAGCGCCCCGGGGCGATTCAGTCAGTCGAGCAAAATCTCTCGAGTGTGCCCGGTGCGGCCCAGTCGGACAGTACTACTGGCACCAATGCCGCGCTGATGCAGGCCACCGTACTGGTACAGTACAGTAGGTACCAGTCTGCCAAAATCAGGATCGAGGAAGGGCTCAAGCCTCAGCCTGCGGGGCTGGCGCTCACAAGCTCTTCACACTGTTTGACTCTGAGCACAGTGCACACGGTTCAAGGATCCCGGTTCACCAGCGCCGGCGGAGTGGCGCACCAAACTGGAAAAGGAAAATGGCGGCTCTGAAAGGCGCTCTCTCTTTCAGCTTGCTGGCCCTGTCGCTGTCAGCATTGGCTGCCGTAGCTGTTGGCCAATGTAAGTTGTCAGTGCCCTGGTGCTACAATCTTTTTCGAGTCCAGTCAGTGACAAGTTTCTTCAATGCTGTACTGCGTCACTTTGCAATGCAGCTGGATCTTGCAATGCGTCGTTCTGAGGTGTCGAATATTCTGCGAGGCGTTTCCTCCTGAAGCTTGACACCATCAATGTCCGTTGGGTTCTCTAGGACTGTCAGCTATGCTTAAGATCTTGAGGGCGGAGAGCTGATTGATGCCGCTGGGCACAGCATTGCTCCTGTGGCTGCTGCTTCACACCCCGGTGCCCACTTGTAATGCATTGCAACTCTGTTCTGGACATATGTGCCTTCTTGATTGGCTGGTCGCTTTGAATCAGAAAAGGGCCAGTGACAGTGACTGAGCTCCATTGTGGCGCCAGTGCGGATGCTGGGATGTACCCGGCTTTAATGGTCTCCAAGAAGAATTGGAACACCCCCGCTTGACGTAGTGTTATGGAGACTGCATTGGTTTGGCCTCAAATATCTCCAATGAAATGCAGACATCGGTGCCCCAGCGTTCCACACAATATCACCTATGTTTAGCAAATTGGACCAGGAACCAATGACAGCCCGCTTCTCTGTGCAGCATTTGACCCCCTCACGCCTCCAGGCAATGTGGTAAGTGGCAAACTCAGTCAGCGCTTCTTTCAGATGTATGCAGCAGCAAACTGTCCTCAGAAATATCCTATCTGCAATGCGCACATCAGCAACCAAGAAATCCCCAGCACACATCTGCTGGCCTGTTGTGCAGCAATCATAGTGTCAGCTTTGAGGAAGAAGCTTCCATTGCTCTTTGCATTGTCATCCTGGCCAGTAATGACCGTTAACATTGTGTATCCATACAGTGTCACCTTTCTTTAGCCCTGCATTCATCCGAACTTGACACCGTGGTTTCAATGACAGTGCCCTGGCTCCTCCACCGAGTACCCCCCCCCCGGAAACATCGTAGCCAACGGTTTTGACAACGGCGTCCCTGCTGGCTGGTTCTGTCCCTTCTGCAAGGATCCTAATCCTGGCCTAGTCATCCAAAGCGATGGCACTAGCACTTATGCAGCAGCAACAGCTGACAACAGGGGAGGCAGTGAGGATGCAGGTGTAGGAATCCAGGTTGACAACCTCGTGCCAGGATGGAGTCACCTCTTCTATGCGTGGGTAAGTTGGCCGCTCTGCATATGCCACAACGTTTTAGGTGATTTTTGGCTAGTCCTGTGTATGCATATGCCAAAAATGAAGATGAATGGAGATGCTTTAGAGAAAGTGGCGTGAACTGGTGGCGTGCGTGTGAGTGGCCGGAATGCTATCCCCTGCTTCCTTCTTCTGGCTGCCTAAGTAAAGCAGATTTTGCTCCAATCGCCCCAACGGCTGGCTTTTGAGATCCAGGCACGCTTTTGTAACTTGTTCAACGTGCAAAATGAAGTGGGGGAGGAAGCAACACACCCGATTAGTGGATCAGTTGATCAGTCTCCTCGTGGTTCTTTGTGCAATGCACTTCAGCGTTTGACATGATAAAGAAGGTGGCAGTAGCGGTGGCCAAGCAATGTTCGACGAAGGCCTGCAAGTGCCATACTGCAATCCACTCCCTTCCCTACACAAGTTTGTTTCCACACTTTGTTTGTGGGAACACGCCGAGCGTTGTGCCTGGCAGGAAGCATGGCAAGAACAAGTTGTGGCGAAAAGTATAGCCTGGGATTCTTCTCTCTGCCCTGAGCAGCTGCTAAGACTGTGTCTTTAAAGGCCGTAGCCTTGTCCTCAGCCCTTGTGTGGCCTCCTCAAGTTTCTGCCATCACCAGAAGGTCTGCCACTGCGCTCCAATACAGAAGACTGGGCAATGCAGACCGATAAGCAGCAGCCTAAGGGGTTATGCTGGATTGCGGAGTCTACGATTGACCCTACTGGCCAGGCCCTGGGCTTCGCTTTACGACCATTTTCTTTAGAAAAGATCGACGCCGACCACGCAAAAATCCAAAGGAAGGGCTGCTGCTCAGGGTTGATTCCAGACAGACCTCGGAATGCAGTTTTAAGAATCCCAGCATGCAGAGTGTACCGTGGCCAAAGATTGAAGTTAAAAGTCAGAGGTCAAGTGGAAACACAGGTTTGACACTAGACGCTTCCTGCAGGTCCGCCTGACCGGTGCCGCCTCCCAGAAGAACTACGGAGTGATTGTGCGCGGGCGCGCAGTCCTGATCCAGGGCACGTTCGAGGGCGGCCCCTACTGCATGGCGCCTGTGGCACAGATCCAGAACGACTGCTGGACGCTCGTCAAGGGGGCGTTCACACCGCCAACCAACTCGGACCTCCTCCGCATTTCAGCGTGAGTTGTCATCAGTGTGCTTCACCCTTCTGGACGTTTGGAGGTACTTGGCTTGAAAAAATGGATTGAAGTTTGCTTTATCTACATGTTTTCCTGGGCAAACGGGGGGAAAGAAACGTGATCGTGTTCAATGGTACTAATCTGTCTTGACATCTGTCACCAATATTATTCGACACCCGTCAAAGAAAGCTGTGCTCCATTTGAGCTTAATATATTCCCTGTTGTTAGGCCCAGCCGCTCCCCAAAAGCCTTATCCTCAACCTGACGCTGCTGCGTAAAACCTTCTATTAGTGTAAATACGTATGTTTCGGTTGGTCAACGCGCTTCTCTCCTGAGCCCGCTGCAAAGATCCGCAGGTTTTGACCTTGGTCGCTTCCATGGAAGTCGTTGTTTGCCTTGTCAGACTAACTCGTTTAAGGATTAGAGCAGTATCCTGAACTTCCTGTTACCCTATGACCTTCCTAATCACCATAGAGACCGCTACACTCTTTGACCTTCCTAATCACCAAAAAAAGAACATGCTTCACCATCTCACGTAGCTGCTTTTACGTACCTGCAGGGAGGACCGCGGCGCAAACATCCACGTCCGTGGCGTTGCCGTCATCCCTGTCGACCCCAACGCGCTGCGGGCCCAGCAGAACGCCCAGATCGATGCTGTGAGCTTCTCGCATCCATAATCTGACTTCAGCAGTTGCCTACCGTAGCCTGTGGAAAGAAGGCTAACGAGGGTATCGGCAGAGAGTTTGAAGCACCTGGGCATGTTCGTCATAAGGCCGAGTCCGTTGAGGAGACGGGAAGCTCCCAGGAGACAACTGATCTCCGAACTTGGACGTTTTCTTGACGAGGGATCGCTGAGTCAATGGAGTTCAATAGAAATGTCGCTAGAACGTCGCTCATACAGTTGTAGCCTGTGGGGCAAGTTCGCCATTGGGTAGGAGCAGCTTGTATCTACATCTGCGTCTGGTTCTCATCGGGTCTTTGTGCTTTCCAGCTTCGTAAGGCCAACGTCCAGATTAACTTCCAGAGGAACGGCGCACCGGTCAGCGGGGGCACCGTCGACTTCACCACCGTGCGCTCCGGGTTCCCTTGGTGAGCAGAAGTGCTTTTCACTTGGCACAACGAATCACTGCATCACTCTTGGAGTTGTTGCTAAGGCCTCTTCAGCAATGTCTCCGTCGTGTGCGCAAGCGGGCGGCTATTGGCAGTTTGGACGGAATTCGGGCGATCTTAGGAGGACTGTTTGCAAGCACTGGCGCCTTGCGAAAGACAAATTGTCGCGAAGCTTTACCTGACGTTATGTTTGGAGACCCTCTCTACTGAAAAGCGTTAAGAACCGGCGTCGTTGCCCTTTGTTTTCGCTTCCCAGTTGACCTGTACTCGAGAAGACACCTTCAGAGCCAGGCAATTGAAGAGATTTAGTCTGGTTAGCAGCTCAACCCAAAGGTTAACTTCTCTGGTTACCCCCCAAATGCAGGGGTCTGCAGGACGTGGACTATGGTGTCACGTACGATGCTTACCAGGCCAACTTCGTGACCAACATTTTCCGCTCCTCTGTCGTGTCCCAGGGCAACGCGTAAGTGGTTTCCTTCACCTCGATTCTCGCGCTCTGCATCTGGTTTGTCTTCTGAAGAACTGTTGCAACCAGGACCCCTAATGACAAAGAGCCTGAGTGTCTCTTTCGTGGATCTTTAGCGATCTGGTCTCATGCAAAATGGAACAAACCTTCGAGCAGTCCTCAGTTATTCATTTTGCAGTTAATGCCGTCAATGAAACGGTGATCTTTGCCTTCTCGTCATGTTGATTGCTGTCATGGCCGACCTGGACAGGTGCTCTGGGCAGGTTTGGAGAGCCATGGATCTTTAAGACCATAGTCTTAGCGGGTCTCGATTCCACGATCGAGAGGCCAGTCTTGATTCACGATTAGATGAATGAGACTTGAGAAATCGTACTTAAGTAATGTGGGAATTATCTTTCAATGATCACGCTTCGAAGAGGATACGAAATCCACTTGATACTACGCCCTTCTGCCCGAAAGCTCGACCACCCCGGACTCAAACCTGGTTCTTGTCCATCCAAAATGGACTACACTCCAAGCTTGAATCGGAAGGTCGTCCTTCTCTTTACCTGTATAGTGGAAGCATTTTCAGATCCGATCTTTCTTTCTCCCGTGCAGTGGTTGGCCTGCGACCGAGTCAGGTGACAACATCTATGACTACGGCCTCATTCTGAACTTCATCCGGTGGGCCCAGGGCCTGGGTCTCCCAATCATTGGACCCCAGGTCACGTGGGACGACTTAGAGAACGGGATCCCCCAGTGGGTCCAGAGCAGCATTGCTGCTACCCAGGCAAACGGGGTGAGCTTCCCGACCGATTTATGTTGTAGATTGTCTTCGGACGGCTTTGTCTATTCATCCCAAGCGTTGCGCTGGAGCTGCGAGAAAAACGGCTCTCGGAGATGACGGTAGCGCAGGATTTGGAGCACAGAGTATGGCATACAGAGCTATAGTGTCCCCGTTCCCTTCCGTTTGTTTTGCCAGCGAGAAAGAGAGTAGCATGACTGGTGGCCTTGACCTTTGATTCGGGCCGACGCTTCGGAAGCGCTTGGGGTGACGTGGCCTCGTCTTCGAGCAAAGTTTGCAAGGAATTTTGGATTCCCCTCGAGAGTTGCTGAAACAGACCTTCAACTTTTTGCGCGTGGTATGACTCGGTATCTCGACAGCATTTGTAGGAAGCCTTCCGACTGCCGGTCCATTTCCGGCTTTCTCCTCCGACCCTTCAGTAAGGCATCCCGAGTTTTCAACTTGAGCAACAGTCCACTAGCAATTGGACTATTCCGGTTGAAGGTCTACATCCGCGCTTGACAGAAAACTATTCAGCAGGCTACGCCCATTTTTAGTGTGCCAGGAGTGCAGGAGTCGAGGCGTCCCATCGCAAACGTCCACAGTCCTAGGCGCGAGATCCGAAATTCTTATGCATCTCGATAACGGAAAGATCCAGAATTTTGAATGACGCTTTGCAACCACTTTTCAGGCTATAGATTGTGGGAAGATTGTAAACGAACCCCCTTCTCAGAGTGACTGGCCTTCTCTTCTTGCCATGTGACGCGAAAACCCCTCTCCGTCAGCAGATTGCCCGTTTCTCACCCGCTTCCAGATCGGTATAACGAACCCCGGAGGACTCCTCGAAAGATTTTGTGACAGAAGGAGCGTCTTGTCAAGCGCACACGTTGTGATGCAGGGTGATGCGGTCAGCCTGCTGGACTATTACATCAGCCAGCGGTCCACCCGCGCCATGAACACTGGCGGCGGCAGCTACACTGCGGTGACCGTCGACAACGAGGGTATCCATAAGACGTACATCCCGAACGTGGGCGGAGGCATTGACAGCATCAGTGAGGCTACATATTGCTTTTGCGTTTTGATAGAGCTCTCTGCGTCAGATCGGCCATCGGATTTGAAACGGTCCGAGCATGGTTCCTGATCTTTAAGCGTTCTAAGACGATACTGGAGGCATCTAACGGCCCATGATCAGCAGGTTCGCTCGAAAATTTTGGAACCCGGTGGCAACTTTGAAGCAGACAGCTGCACGTGAGAATTTGTCCGGGGACAACTTTTTACAAAAGATGCTTCGAAAGCTTCCGACAGACGGGTTGGTTACGGGGGGGCAATCTTGCGGACTCTTCAAGGAAGAAATAGCGGAGGCATTTGCGCATATTGAAGGCGTCCTGTCTCCGAGCCGTTGCCAAGGCTGAAACTTAGAAATAGGGACAGCTATATCGAGTTTTTCTCCCTTGAAACATAGTGCAAAGAGCCTGACTTTGACGAAGCAAGGCGATTCGACATTTGGGTTCACGAACTCATAGCTGATCCAAGGGACGAGCCGCCAAGTGCCGCCTCTTAGCGGACTTGCAACCCACCATCTCGTTAGCGCGGCCACCGTCTTTTGCTTGGCTCTAAACTCCGCCGAACATGTTCAACTCGACCCCTTGCAAATGAGCAGAATTCGGTCTTTCAAGGAACCAGCGACACCCTTACGTCACCTTTCCTACGGAAGAAATAGTCTTCTTGTAAGAGGGGTAGTTTGCAAACATCCCAATGGATCCAACTCTTTCATTGTTGGAGGAGGTAAACTTTCAGGCAGGTGCCGAAGGCGCAACTCTGACCATCTAGCGTGCCCCGTGCAGCCAAAAACTTCATCGCCACCAGGAGCGCCGACAACGCGGCCGGCCACAACACGCCGATCATCTACAACGAGTACAGTGAGGCCTCCAATCTTCTGTGCTCCCAACGAGGTTGTACGCTTTCCTCTTTCCCGAATGTCGATCATACGTTGGGACTCGTGACGGAGGGAGCTGTGCTTGCTATCTCAGAGGGCAGTTTTTGAGAGTCAGTGTCATCTGCCCAGTCCTTGGACAGAGGCTCTGCTTTCACCGACACGGGAGATGAAGTCCGGCAATCCGCTGATACCTGTTTGTTGTTGGATAAGGTTTCTTGTGGTCAAGCAGACTCGTTCATCCAGAAAGGGTCTCAACTGTGGGGCGGGAGAGTTGGGGGGAGAGACTAGTCCTTAGAGTCTGATAAAGCGCTAGGAGAAAGTCGACACTTTCGCGCAGCATATCTCGAAGCGCACCGACTGATTTCTGAATCTTTTTCTGTTCTCTGCAGACGTGGGAGAGGGCTGCTACTACAACTTCCCCCTTGATGTAAGCTCCCTCTCCTTTCTAGTTCTCAGCTTTTCTTTGAGGCGTGGTCCTCACAAAGAGCAAGTGAGGTTTCGTCTTGGGTTAGTCATAGTTTGCAGTCTGGTCAGGTAGCGGCTCTGGATTCTATCTGTCAGCAGCTACTGTGCGGCCAGATGCTCGCTGCGCTCGTCCGAAAGTTAGGCAGCGCCACCTCATTTCGCTTCACGGTCGTCTTCAATCAAGTGAGAGGACTCATTTGAGACAAGTGTGAAGGGAGGCCAAAGGTGACAGTCAAGCAAAAATGCGGAAGATGCATCTCACCATCTCGTCTTAGTGCCGCATATAGTTCTCGAGAGATCCAACATTGCTGGATCTTCCCCTAGCTATAGTCCATACTAAAGCCTCCATTCTTCTGCTCGCACAGTCAAATTCCGAAGTCCCTACCGCCAGAGCGTGCTTTGAATCCAAATCCTTGTCCGGAACTTGTCACTCCCTCTCCAGTCACCGTGAAAGTTCTCAAAGTCTCAACTCGTGTTTTATCCAGGCGTACGGCGACCCCGTGAGCCCCGAGGTGTTGGCGGAGCGCATCAACTATCTGAACTCGCGCGGGCAGGGCCAGCTGGTGAACATCGCCGGGCTGCAGTTCCAGGTGACGCCCAACCAGCGGGAGGACCAGCGCATGAGCATCGGTGAGCATTTACCAAGCTTCGGAAGATCAACAAACAAAACAAGAATGGTTCGAAACATCAAAATGCATAGTGTTTGGTTCGGAACGATAAGTCACAGCAAGAGATGGGGGAGGGCTGGAGAATTTGAGAATGTACAGAAGAAATGCAGGACTGGTCACACTGCTTGGGAGAGAACCACGAGGATGCGCAATGAGCGGCTTCTTTGCAGTTAAGGAAGTGATTAGAATTAGCGCATGAGCGATATTGCAGCTTCAAAATGCCAAAAGACAAAATCTGTGGGAAGGGAGGAGGCTTACGATCGTGGGGTTACAAAGCGAGAGCACAGAACTTTTCAAGCGGCTCGAACACCTTTGTCCATCGTCAACTTGTCCTGAAAGCCTAAATCTCAGAGCTTGAAGAAGTAAAAACATGATAAGCCATCGGACTCAATTCTTGCGTCAAACTTGCCACCTAGATTCCCAAATTCTAGGCTACGGTTTGCGGTCTTGAGCCGTCACATGTCCTTTTGAGTTTCGAAATACGGGCCAAGATCAGGAACCATGGTCCGAGCACTTGGCATCTTTTTATAGCAGGGTTGAAGCAACCGCTGTACTTGTCCCCGCGACCCCCCTTTCCCATTCTATAGAGGCCTCTTGAATGGCGAAGCCCAAAAACAAAACACAAAACACAGAAACCCTAAATTTGCAAGCATTTTGCCCGCAGCCGTGTCCAAGGTCGCGGAGGCGACGGGGCTGCCGGTCCACATCACCGAACTTAACGTCAACGTGGGCAACAGCTTCGTGGGGAACTACAATTTCGACCGAAACCTGCAGGCAAGGGTTATTAAACCCCATTGAGACGACTTTGTGACAGACTTCTACCATGGAGCATGCGTAAAACTTGCAGGAAACCAATCTATCTCCTCGATATTGCCAATACCTTTCTGTGCATTCAACTTTTACAAAGCCATATGTGCGATTCGCAGCCTTTGTTGCGCTACTCTCCGTCTGGGAAAGTTGAGATCGTATGTTTTGCAAACAAACGGAAACCGTGACTGTCTTCGCTAATCGCATCTTGGCCGGTTAAAGTTGCCCAATCTCTAGCATGCGTTTAGAGGCGGAAACAAAAGAAGGTAGCATTAAGTTCTTCTGACTGGCATTCGCATTTCAGTGTAGCCGGGATGCATCTGCATCCGTCAAGCTTCCATCCAAACACATCCTTCTTTTTGTTGGCCCCCTGTGTTCTGCTGCCGGCTCCCTCGTATTTCCAGAACGTCTTGAAGTTCCTCCGCACACTTCTGTGTCTTCCCGCAATTTGATCCCTCTGTTCTTCATCGCACGGAGTCTACGGCCCTTCTATCCGGTCCTTTCACCTCCACTCAACCTATTTCATCAGATTGCCATCGAACGGCCTCAATCTTCTCTGTAGAAGCCCTGACTCACAACGTCAGGGCGTCAACCGTCAAATCTCTGTTGAGCGGCCTGAATGGCCCCTTGATCATTGTTTTCGCCCTGCCTGCAATCTCGACCGTCCGAAGTTTGTCGAACGGCTCCCGACCGTCCTTCCTTTCCTTTATAAGACCTCAGCCGTCAGATCCCCATCGAACGGCCTAGACGGTTCTCTAACCGTCGATCCCCGCCCTCCCCGCAGGCCGACATCCTGGAGAGCACGCTCCGCCAGCTCTTCTCCAACCCCCACGTGACGACCATCCTGTTCCAGCACGTCATCCCGTACCCGTACGGCGGCGACAATGACGCGGTCTGCGGGCCGTGCCTGTTCACCAGCCCCCAGGCGGGCTACCAGCCCAACGCCGCGGGGCAGCGCTACCTGGCGCTCAGGGACGAGTGGTCGACAAACGTCGTCAACTACAGCTTCAACGGGGGCAGCGCAGGGGTGGGTGGTTGGGACCCTCCGTTGATTGTGTTGATCGCCTTTTCAAGGGTCAAATCGTGTCCGGAATGTTTTCTTGAAGAGACGCAAGTGGCTGGCCGCGGTGGCGACTTGCGCCTTCAGCAGAGACGAGTGGTCGACCAAAATGGTCAGCTACAGCTTCAACGGGGGCAGCGCAGGGGTGGGTGGTTTGGATCTCCGGTCTTACAGTCTCCGGGTCTTTCCCCTTTCTCATCGTAAACTTGAGGCTGCCATTCATGCAACTAACGTCGTCAACTACAGCTTCAAAGGGGGCAGCGCAGGGGTGGGTAGTTGGGACCTTTCGTTCGTTTTAGTTTCCGGGTCTTTACCCTTTCTCGTTGTGTTGTGGAGGCTGCTCTTTTTTCCAAGTAGCGTGGTCAACTACAGCTTCAATGCGGGCAGCGCAGGGTGCGTGGATTGGCGAATCTGTTCTTACTCTTGTCTGGGTCTTTCTTCTTTCTCGTTGTGGTCTCTTCTACAGCAACAACGTGGGCAACACAGGGGTAGGTGGTCGGACCATCGGTTTGTTGTTTCAAACAGTTCAGAGCTTTGTCCCGACAGTTTGAGGCTGCAACTTTTGTGAAGCCGGAAAGAAAGAAGAAAACGAGCGGCCAAGACGGTGAAGCAACGGGTAAATGAGTATTGTACTTTCCAATTGAACTCAGAAAACGACCAGCAAACGCGAAGACAACTCCATGAGGACGACATTCTGTTCTGGTCGGCCTTCTTTTCTTCATTCTTTTCGTTCTGTTCCAGCGCACGAAGCGGTTCATTCTGTCGCCCATGCTATTCGCTGCCAAGCTTGGGTCGACACCAGAGTGTTGACGTGCTTGTTGTGCTGCGAGGACACGTGGTGCTCTAAAACTTGGTCGCTCTCTCAGCCGTGCTTCACACCAATGCACTTCTATTGAACCAATTTCAGGCCCCTCAGCGGCGCAACTAGTCTTGCAGTTTTGACCGGTCTCTTCAAGCTTGGGTCACGAGTCTGTGGGTTTCTTCACCTGTCCTCGTTTTATCAGGGACGAATACCCCCTTATGCTTATTTGAAAGCTGGAAACTTTGAAGAACACGAAGGTCAACGAGGACGAAGACGAGGTAGACCTGTCTTTCTCGTAATCGGCTATTTGAATGCTTATTATTGTGCATCTTGTCATTTGCAGTTCCGCGCCTTCCTCGGCACATACGCCGTCACTTACACCGACCCGAGCGGCAACAAGAGCCCCACGCAGTACATCACAGTGAACCCGGACGCATTCCCGGGCGCGACCCAGTTCGTCACTCTGGACGTCTGATCTGCTTTCAGTCGGTCTGTCAATTTTTAGCACCGCAAGAGAAGTCGCTTGCGGGCAATGACACGTGTTGATCGCTGCGGGACTGTAGAGTATTTGGCAAAGATGGAACCAGTTTCCGAAGGGTAGCTCTGATGATTGGCAATGACGGTCGTTTACGAGCAGCCCCGCAGCCAGGCTATTTATTGTGTCGTTTTTGGTGAAGAGGATGTTCAGACGTCGCAAGCTATAATGGAGTCCTCCAGTGTTTTCGCTGACAATTTAGCGCTGGCCTTGACTGGCCCATTGCTTGACGGTTGATTCGAAACTTGTTTATGTACGTTCAGTTGACACAAGACTTAGGCCCGTGCATCTGCAGTAGAGCTCTCGCTTAGAGGAACGCCCCCGCGACGGCCAGCAGAACCTACGCAAAATTAGTGGGATCTTGCTGGAGCACACGCAGGATCCGCTCCACCTAGCCTAGGTCCACGTCGTCTAGAAGCGTTTGCACAGCATAGACTGACTCACTGAAAGTGAATTCTGACGTACAGTCGATTGGTTGCAAGCTCTGCTACTGAAGAGGTCGCCGTTCGGTTGTTTGCACATGTCCAGCAAGTAAATTCTCAAGATGCCTTAATTTGACAAGAGTACAGCTTATGCCCTTAGGTGAAGGCTTATTGCATGAGTATAGCTTGAAGGCAATTCCAAGTAGATGATCGATGATTGGATGACACGTGCATTAGATGCAAAAACGTACCTGACCGTCGGAGGTATTGTACATGCTCAGCTGGATACTCCGATCCACTCACGAAATGTCTCACGCAGTGTATTCAATTGCATGAATCAACGACGTACAGTACTGCAAATGCATTCGGTCATCACGATTGCACGTGAGCACCACTCACTTTCGCGAATTATAGTGAGAATGTCATGGCAGTACGTAAATCAAGGCGCTTAGTGGTGCGCGCATGCGACAGTTGTTCGTACAGCTCCGCGAGCCTGTTTGCACGCGCATATTATGCATTTAGTTAAGATTCCAATATTCCCATAAGCGCTTTATACCGTACAGCAGGGCCGCCATGATGATGCGTGCGCCTCGATCTTCTCAGTCCGTAGCTTAACCGGTACTCAAGCTGTGTGCAGTCGTCAGGCTCAGTAGCAGAGCCGACAAACGATACGTAGTAGGTTCAGCAAGCATCTTTTATGCAATTTCTCTGCACCAAGTACGACTTCTAGCCAGCTGGCCCCCCCGATTGCTCGCACGTTATATCATCAGTCTGCTTACCTGGCAGTTTGGCAGCCGTTCCAATTCGGCTGACATCATCTCGGGGCAGGGGCTTATCCACCCATCGTTGTCGATCTTGATTCATCAGCAAGCCGCGATAGATTTGAATCTACACAGTCAAGATGAGCATACAATCACGTCATCTGTTTGATGAGTCTCCCGATTCGTCCGTACGTGCGTCTGTAGATCGGTCACTGCTGCTCTCAGCAAGAGCTTGAGTATATCTATCTTAATGCGTGCTGATTGGAAATGTCCCAGGCCAGCAAAGCGGCAAGAACTGAGCGAGGTCTTTTGGTACCTTGAAAACTCTCTCATGTAACGTTGCAGTGAAAGTCAGTGTACCGTCACATGCAATTCCAGGCTGCCGCTCCATGATTACTATTCACGTGTGTCGATTGAGCCACGCGGAATCTAAGTTCCCGTCCTTTGTTTCTGCTTTGACTGTCCTTTCAGATTGTCTCCCCTATACTTGGGAACGCTAGGTGCTTCAAAAGCGTGGCACATGGATGATGCACGTCTGTGCTGCAATTTCGTTTGACGCCAAAGAGTTCCTAAACGGTTGGACGTACCACAAAATCACTCGTCCGAGTCGTCTTTGATTACAGCAAAGTAGGACAGGAGCAAATATACGCTGTCTCGGTGAGACCAGCTTCATTTCAACTTCATGATTGTGCAGCAGCCACGGCGGGCTCCTTTGGCTTTTTGAGGCTTCCAAGGTTGATGTTGGCAGGAGCAGAGATTTCGTGGTGACAACCAGGCTTCATTTCCGTCTTCGCTTTGACAAGGACAGCTAAGGACGAGAGTGGCGCGCGTTGCCCGCGTCCTGCGTGGCCGGCCGCCGGCGATCGGCACTGATCCTCTGATCAGTGCAGTGAGTCACTGACAAATCGCCGGCCGCCGCCGCGGGCAGCCGGGGCCGGCACGGGACTGCGACGGTAACGTGACCAGGGTTTAGTCTTTGCGCTTGGCACTTCACAAAAGGAAGTATCAGCCGCTACTACTAGTAAGATACTTGGTCTTTTGCCTGCAAGCTGACATTTCCAGCAGTTCTGACATGAGGTGTAAGTTCTTCTCTTCAAAAAGCTCGAGGTTCCAATCCAACAGTGACATTGGCTTCTGTTCACCAGATCACAAATGCTGAGCTTAGCTCCGGGCTCCTCGGCTTAAAAACGCTTCGTGTTTCATACATCGATCAGCAAATATGCCTAAGAAATGCCTCAATACCAGCTAATGTGCAAGCTATCCTTAGAGTAACTCATTACAATTCGATCTGCAGCACGCTCCTCAGCGCCATGAAAAGCGCGATACAAGCAAGTCAAGTGCCAAGCTTTCTGCACGTCAACGGAAGCGACTTTCTGAACAAACGCTTCGGCAGTCGAGAGCTGGCAATTTGCATCCATTGAACAGCTGGCTCCAAGGGTCCCGCAACATGAGAAGTCTGTCAACAGACAGTTTGCTTGCAGAAACCCGAAGCTCGAACACCCTGCTTCCAACAAATTTGACAAAGTCCAAGAAAGGTGGACGCCGCTGCTTTGCAACTCGAGAAGTTCGCCGGAGACGTTCTGTTGTTCGGGTCCTCTCAGTACCGGAGGGGAGCTCGGCAGAGGAGTCTGTCCAGATCAACCGGCCATTAACCAGTCATTTTGCAATTTCAGATCTTCCAAACATCATCAAGGTTTCAGAGGATGATTGGGTGATAACCAGACCTGACGGAGAGCGTTTTGATAGCTTGGCCGTCTTCGCCACAGGACGGCTACGCGCCTAGCTCAGGAGGCCTCGCAGATGCTGACAGACGCTCACCCCAACCTGAGGTGCTTGCACCTGTCATGGCAACGCCGGTCCCCGAGCCAATCTTGTACCGACTCCCACGTGGGACGGTTGGGACACGCGCAGGTACAAGCACTCAATAACCAAGGCGTCCCCGGGCAGACGGCCCGAGGAAGAGGGGGGTACCGGTAGAGACATTTGGTACTCAATCTGTTTGAATGGTCGCTTTTCCCGCTTGGAGGAAGAGTTTCAGAACGAGTACGGGGCTCGCTACGCGTACATGTTCAATGTTCCATTCGTCAAGCGCCACGTGTCAGCTCATGGTAAGAGGCCGTCCACCGTGATCAGGATGTCGACCAACGAGACACTGCAAAAAGTTAGTGAGGCTCTGGGGAAGGGCATCTTTGACACGTATGCGGGGTATGAACTAGGTGACATCGATCGCGAGCGGCGCAACAAAAGGCGTTCATGGTTTCCGGGTTGGCATCTCCAGGAAGGATACGGAGTTGTGTGGAACACCGCAGCAATCCGGGACTGGACGCTCGTTGCGACTTTAGAGAAGGGGAGTCGACATCAACGCTGACGTGATCGCAAGTCATGAATGAAGCCAGGGATGATGACGCTCATTTTGTGAGCAAACTCAGATCGTAGACAGGCAGAGTGACTAAATTGGTATATTGACACACGAAATGATGATTGTTCAGACGCAGAAACGCTGATTCTTGTCTTCTTGCGGTAACATTCAGCGTACAACTCTTTGTTTCTGCAAAGTCAGACTAGCTTTGACGTAGTTGTCATATTGTTTCCAAGAGCCTTTTTGTGGCTTTTCCGATCTTGATGTCGTGTTCCGAGTACCACAAAACATCTCAAGATGTATCGATTGAATACGGCCACTTTGTTTCACACATATGTGCCAGCCGAGTATCAGTTGAACGTGACGCTCGTCGAATTGAAGGTCCATCAAATCTTAAAAGTCTTTCAGTGTGATTGTCCTTCTACATAACCTTTTTCGGCTACGAAATGCAACACTACTCAGTCTACTCTACATGCCCGGGCTTTGCTCTTCCTGCATGCTCAGTAATTACGATGATCCACGGTTGCTCAAATTGATTGATCATAAAGGCTCGAATAGCCAGCTTATAGCCTGGCTTACAAGTCTGAAGAACTTGGACATAAGTGTTGTAAGTTTAAGGGTTCAGAGTGTGCCAATCTTGTAACCAGTTGCCTGGATGTAACCTCGGACACTGGCACCGCCAGAGAGTGGAATGGAAAGACTGTAAAACGAGAAAGTCGAAAAAGGTGAATATCAATCATTCAAGCCAAGATGCGTTTCTATCTTTGGCTCTCGTACAGTATCACGCCACGAGAGAACAGGTGAGCATCCCGTCGGTCCCTCATCGGCAACCTCAGCTTTACAGAGTAGAAAGCTTGCACTAAGGATCGACGTACTGCTTGTCAAGGGGATGGCGTTTGGCCGGCGCCGCGTGGCACCTGGCAGCTGAGGCCGGCCGCGTGCGACGGGGATTAGTCGGGAATTGCGGTGCGATGGCGGCCGCGCACTCACGCGCACTCGACGACCCGGTCCCGGTCACCGTCAGCAGTTTGAGAATGTGTCTCTCTTGAACTACCATATTAATTTGGAGCCTCTGATCAGGATCTAAGGTCCGAGAATGAGTTGATCAAGCTCGGAGCTTCTGTAGGCTATCATTTTCAGCGCCCTGTTCCAACAAGATACCTCTTTCCTTGACATTTCCAAGAGAGTCTGCAAGCCTGGCCATGAATAGCGGCTGCTGATCAGAGCAGTACTTGATCGGCTCGCTAATTGTAGAGCTTCACTTCCAAAGCTTGAACGTCGAGGATCAGCACTGCCAGCAATCAGCTCAATTTCAAGGATGAAAGCAAACGACGCGGAAGGACTAGGACCGGCGACAACAAGGTTCTTGAGTCGCTCAGGGATTTGCCAGGAACAGTCGGGGGTGCCTCTGGAACGCTTTCCTGAAATGGCTTCTGTCCAGGGGGCCTGGCAGCTGCCAATTCGCGAAGATGCAAGGTCAACAATCGTCAGGATCGTGAAAAAGGGGGAGCACGATTTGATCAAAAATACCGGTGAAGAACGAGAGCGGGACGCCCGCTACAAGATGGGAAAGTGCCACGGTCGGGAACTGTCTCTGATGCTCAAAGAAAGACACCCAAACCTGAGATGCTTGCACTTGTCAAAACGCCAATCTCAGCTCCGATGATCTACCGATTTGCCAAGCGCATATACAGACGGTCGATAACAGACCCTCGCCAGGAAAGAGACCGGAGGAAGAAGATGGTACCTGCAGAGACCTTTGGTACTCTGTCTTTTTGAAAGGGCTTTTCCCACGCCTGGAAGAAGATGCATTGATGCTTGCGAGTATCGCTTTGCGTACATGTTTAACGTCCCCGTTGTGAAACGGCACGTGCAAGTCGCGTCACCTAAAGGTCAGCCTCAGTCATCAAGTTCTCTACCAATGAGACCTTGAGCAAAACTAGCGAGGCTTTGGGAAGAAACATCTTTGAGAGGTACGCGGGGTATGAAGTAGGTGATGTCGAGCGCAACCAGGTCAAGAGATCCTACATACGAGTGCTGGGGTGGCACCTGCATGCAAGAAGGATACGGAGTGGTGTGGAATGTTACGGCGATCCAGGATTGGACGCTTGTTGCGACTTTCGAAAAGGGACGTACTGTGACATACTGTAGGTAGGATGCTTCGTTGATCTTATAAGCATGCGGTCAGAACGCCACTGAAATCGAACAACTACGATGGAAGCAGCTTACTTGACATCCTGTACTCGATGAGCGCATCAGATGTTTGTGAGATTGTGATCGGATCGCATCTCTCGTGAATCATTATAGTTATATGTATCTGAAGCAGCGCTCGGTCCGCGGTCATGGCTGCCGGTGGCAATGCTCGCATTATGTTGTCCATCATGCATTCAGCAGGAGGCATAAGATGTATCGTGGCTGAACTTGCACGCGGCGGAGATCGAGTGATTGAAGGAGCATGCGATTGTCGTTACGACCGGGCTTGGTGGTAATGAGAGTCTGCCAGCGCCGTTTGAGCTGGATGCGACGACACACTCTAAACGCACTAATTATCTGCTGGATTCCAATCCGCACATGAATCAGCAAGGACGGTCGGGACATTTCAAAACATGCACAATCTTATTCGCAATGCAGTCGCATATGGTTGCACCTTGCTGAGCATGATGACGACGTGGGGGATAGCAAGGAAGGATTACTAGACTGAGTCTAGGGTACATGCCAGATGGTTCAACTTGAGACGCATGGCCAACTGCAGATCGGCCATACACGCGTGCCATGTTGTAGGGCGCGTTTTCAATATAAGAGCTTTAGCGCGCGAGGGCACGCCTGCACCCTAGACAATAGCCCGAACAATCAACTTCCAAAGCTCATTCCTAGCTGCGGGCCAAAATGATTAGGAAAGCAGGCTATAGCAGTTTATATCTCATCGTATGCTGTGGTAGCAATCTCCGCATGTGCCGTGCTGTGTATACGGTATTGACCCACGACATGAGATGACGGCGAGCCCGAGTTAAGTGGCGGCATGACGGATCGTAAGCGGGCTCACATGAATGAATGCTGCATGCACGTACCAAACGTTGCCAACCAGGCTATATCATGGCAATGCTAAAGATGGGCATGGGCCACCGTAACACACGTCACCTGGGCCATCCATTTAATCAATTGAACGGTTGTAAGGATCTTGGTGAACCTCCGATATGATGAGTTGCACTTGGGTCCAAGGGGGCGGCTCGACCCATAATTTTTAATCGAGGTTTCATCGAAAACGCTCGATTCATATGGATGCGTGTCAAGAAACAAATTAAGCCCGATCAAACACCAACTCTCTGCATGAAACCCTGAACTTAAACTAAATCTGCCCGTCAGTCCTGACGTAAAATACAACACTCTCCTCCACAGCGTGCACGCGTTGCATCTGTAAAGGGGACAGTCTCGCTAATTCGAAGCCGATACAAAAGCTAGTGAACACAGTCATTGCAAGGCCTCAATCTCTGCCTTCCACTGCCACGCCAGCCCATGTAGATCTTGGAGGACGTAAGTACGTCCAGGCTGCAGGAACGCGGTCCAAGCGAAGATGAGCGGACAGAACGAGGTCTCCGCCGGCCTGTGGCCGAGCTAGGAGCGAGCCTTAGAATCCAAGGTTCAGATGCTAAGTCAAATCAACCCACGACTCTTGCAACCTTGCCTCAGTTGCAAAACCCAGCAACGCGTTTCAAAGCAGAAGCACCAGTGAAATACCGCAAAACAAAGGCATCCGATCCGCGATGTTCACGAGAACGGGCGATGCCGAAGACAAAGCCAGTCGCCAAGCAGAAAAGAGAACACGTTTCGGAATACCTCCTCTTACGATGATGACGCTTGGTAGCACGAACCCTCTGACGAGTCGAAGGCCTTGATGAAAACAGCAACTCCGAGATACTCACCGTCCAGATATTGAAGTTGCACGGGCTCTCCACTCGGACGCTCAGTTCGGACGTCCAGGGAATGGTGCCCATTAACACCATTTTGACGGGGTCCATGTACAGCAGGCGCGGGGTGTTGGTCAGCAGCAACTGACGCTTCTTGGAGGAAAATCCTTTGTGCTTTTTCACGAGCGTCGTGAACGCAATCCTCTCGCCTGGCAGCAGGAACCGCTCCCTGCGATAGTTCAGAAGCTTTTTTTAAGCAGGTGAGAAACAACTACTGTTATTAGTGGCTTCAGACTTGAGAGCAGACTCGTTCCATTGGTTTAGGTGAATCCATTCTTGGGCATGTAAGACGAGGAGATCCAGGGAACCAGAGAAACAATACTGGAGACGTCACTCAGCCAGGCTCGACTCGTCTCGCTTTTGCGGAACTTGGACGGTACCATATCGTCACCGCAGAATGCAAGAGCGGCGTTCAGGCTTGCTCGAGGGGTCGACAGAGTAAAAATATTTGCCCTTATTGGACGGTCAGATCGCATCTCCGCTGGCAGACGTGTGACGTCAGAGCGGGAACTCTTTCTCACATTCTTGGTAGAAAAGGTACTCACCAGATTTCCAGGTCGTCACGACTAGACTCTGACGTCTCTGGCGGCAACATCGACTGAGCGGTCGGTAATTTGAAGCTCTCTAGAGTGCCTCCCATGTGCGCGCAGTCCCAGTCCCCATCGTCCTGCCACGCAGAAGAAGCACATCATTTTCAACCAGGAATTGCATATTGCTATGAACGAATTGCTTCTAAGATACGGCTGAGTGGTCGCCCATCCTGCGGTCTTCCAGGATACATTCTGACAGAGAACCAGGCTGCTATTGTGCAGAAGGTGCCTTGCCCCAAGGTGGTCCACGGTTTGTGATGAGAGGCGCAGATTGAGCGATGCTTCTTCGCAAGACATCAAAACGGCGACTAGCTTGCCCTGGTTGAGCATAGAAGGACAATAAAAGAAAGACGCGCTCTTTTCGGGGTGCTCAGAGAAACGTGGTCGCCTACTTAGAGCAAGCAGACGCGCAAAAAAGAGCCGAGCACACATGGACACAGCGATAGCGTTTCTGATTTGGAAGTTCCGATGTGGATGCGGATCAAGCAGAACTAGTCTTCACGAGGTCGTCAAAAGTGGTGAGCAATAGGTGGCGAGCGGTTAGTAAGAGTGGTCAATGGTGGTCGTGTTGCTTGTCGTGAGTGATCAGTGGTGTGATTGAAGCCGAGGCGCGAGCGCGTGAGTCCGTGAACGCCCCTTTGAGGTAAGCTGGCTGAAAGGAGGGAGGAGAAGTGATCGTGAAAGTGACGTCAGAGTAGGGGCGTAGCCTGCGCCTATCTGCCACGTGGCCTGCTGGAAAGAGGAATTTTAGACGGTGCTCCAGTGAAAGCTTGAGAAGGTGGGCGAGTCGGCGTGCGCTGAGGGGATGTGAGTTGCGATGTGTCGAGCATTGAGTGCGTGGTGACGTGGCAGGCTGTGAAAGAGGCAGTGAAGTAGTCAGTTGCAAGAGCACCAGGTCATATTTCCGCAGTACCTTCGAAAGGCGCCGGCCGGAGCGCTGAGAACGGGCACGGGCCGTTCAGTTGAAATCGTCCCACCTGTCGTCCTGTGGGGGAAGGAAAGGGGTGTGACAGTCAGAATCAAGGTTGATAAATCGCACAGAAGAAGCCTGGACGATCACAACCTCGAGAGGCTGAACTTCTCAATACCGGACAGATGTTAACAAGGTCTCCTAGACCGGGGACTTGAAGCTCAAACAAAAATCTGGTTGATGAGCCGCCGTGAAGATACCAAACCGTGGAACAGACCGTTTCTCCCTGACCGTTGCCAACCTCTTCCAGTTGCAGACTTGAAAGCCTTCTGTGCCAGAACGAGAAGCGAGAAGAAGACGAGAGACTACGTGCACCAAACGCAGACTTAACGGCGAAGAAGGACGAAGGACCTGGCCGTGCATCCCTTTCCTCCTCGTCTTCTGCTAACATTTAAGACGATCACGGTTCAGATAAAACGAAGGGAAAAGAACACCAGACGGCGAAACACCCAAACGAGCAGAGGTAGCCTGGCCCCGGGGTGTGCGTTCCATTCTCACTACCTCTTTCAGCGCGGGCGCCCGGGACCAAGCCCATGTCTCAAGAGAACAAAAATCCGCACCAAAAGCGAAACCAGCCGGCAGATGAAAGCCATCACAATGTGGAGCGGAACAGAGTAGACAAAGGCCCCAAGTTCGAAGAAACGAAAACAAGGGGCGACGAAGCACGCCGCCATACCTCTCCATCATCGTCCTCTTCTTCCAACGCGGGTGCTGGCAGCAACGGCGGCGCACGGTGTCCCCGGACGTTGCTCCAGTCAACGCCCGCGAAGAAGGGGTGGGCCTTGAGGGCCGCCAGGCGGGCGGGATCGGAGCCCAAGCGCGTCTTGGGGTTCATGTCCTGAAATGGGTTGCGGCTCTTGGTTAGCCAGGGCGTCCCGTTAACTCGCCTCCACTTCAAAACTCGGAAGACTGGAAGGGCACAGATTTGGGGGCAACGGCAACTCCATCTTTCTGCCTCCAACTTCGATAGATGATAGCCTTGCAAAGAACGGGTGATTAGACAGTTGTGGGCAAGACAAGACGGCATCGCTCGAACCGGAGCATTCGAACGTCACGCTTTTATGCTTACAATTTTAAAAGCAATTTCAGTGGTTCTGAAAGCGCTATTCTACGAAGGGGCGGGTTACAACATAACAGCTCCTCCAGAGAACAAACTGCGGCCAGTTCATTTTCTTAACGAAGGGGTACCAACCAGAGTTTTGGAAGCGAGTTCCGATGGCGAAACGTACAAGCAGAACGGGCTTGGCACGCAACGGAACAGGCCCTGATTTCTCACCAGCAAGCCGTCAATCAAGTCCATTGCTGCGTTCGGCATGTCGGGCGGCCAAACAATGTCCCGTTGCAAGATGCGCTGAAAGCACAGGTACTCGCTTGCGGCCTTGAAGGTCGACACGCCCGTGAGCATTTGGAAGATAAGGCAACCTAGGGCCCAGTAGTCGGTACTGCAAAACGAAGGACTCATTTGCTTGAGTAATCTCGAAGACCAAGCAAAAGTTGCGTTGAACCTGTGGAGGAACCTTTTCGGATAAACCATTTTGAGCTGAGCTTCAGTGAGGAACGAAGGTGTTCGGAGGCGCGGCCGCAAAATTCTGGAAGATTAGGCAACCTAGGGCCCAGGTGTCGGTACCGCAGTGAAAAAAGATGTTGATTTCTTGGATTATTCTGGTTTAAATCAGGCGAATCGGGTTGTGGAACATATGGATTCCAGAGCCCAAGACAAGGGAAGAGAAGGCAATACAAGGGCCAGTAGTCGGTGTTTCAAAGACAGAAACAACCAGATTGTTAGAGTTGTTTTGGTTTGGAGGAAGTAACTCGGTATACTAAAGGGAAGGAGTTCAGGGCCCAGAATTCCAAGCCGCAAAAGGAAGGGAACAGTTTAATACAAAAAGCCTGCTTCTTAAAGAGCTGCAGACTGGTTGGTGGGACATGAGGCAACCGAGGGCGGGAAGTCGTTTAGATAGAAGGGTCTACTCGCGTGTCTCGAGAACCAAGCGAATGTTGCGTCAGCTGTGGAAAAACCTCCTCAAAGAAACGAACTTCGAGCCAGCTTCGACGCAATTAAGAAGGAAAGAAGGACACGGATGGCTCGATCACACGACTTCACTACTACGGTCACTTTTTCGACTGAGAGATTTGGAAGTGATAGATGACAGCCTCAGAAGGTCAGGCAATATCCGAGGAAACTCTTCCAATGAGCGAGACCGGTAGGCCGAATACCTGACAAGTATGAGTTTCATCACCAGCTCACCTGGCAGCGACGTGCTTGCTGTTGAGCATCTCAGGAGAAACGTACTCGGCAGTCCCCACAAACGAGCCCTTCCTCTCGTCGCCTGCTGCCAAAGAAGTGGTCAGGCCAGCGTTAAGCTGACTCTGTCGAGAGACCAGCGCTAAGGACAAAGTCGAAGTAGAATGTCCAAAGCAAACCTTTGCTCCTTTTCGGCTTCGGCCTCTCCTGGACTTGATAGTACTTGTCGAAAGAACTTCGTGCCGGTGTCCCGATCAGAAGGATGAACCGAGACTGGCAGTATATGATTTTGAGTTCTCAAGGTTCCCTTGCAGAATGGACTTGCAATATCAAAAGCGGCACCACTAAGAGAGGAGTCAAAGGTCGATGAGGCCTTTGCCATGTCACCACCTGCCTAAGAACTCGACTCAACTTCTGCAGACACTCATGTCAACCACCATTTTGTCGAGTGAACGCAATGGTTCCACCAAAGAATCTGGTTTGCAAAGTCCAAAGAAGGTGCGATTGCTGCAAATAAAGGTTTGGGAGTCACCGTCTGGCCCACCTGGGGCTGTGATGTAGGCTCCCTCATCTACAAAGATTGCACTGCCGAAGTCGCCCAGCTTCAGGTGGCCGTCCGCTGTGAAGAGCAGATTCTCGGGCTACAAAAATGATCAACACGAATCCCTTTAGCAGGGTGTTGACCCAGCGAGTTAGATGATCAGAGTGTGGCCGGCATTTACAACGTGCTGCACAACCAGGCAAAAAGCCTGCCTTCAACATGTTCGAAACTACCGTCCTCGAGGCACCTGACAACCCCTAACATGAAACGGCGCACTACCGAAGTTTTCCTGACGCAATGTGATCCCTTTGTCTGACCTATCCTTTGTCTAAAGTAACCATCCTCCCTGCCTGCATCGAGTCTTCTTCCTGCCTGGAGGGAAACCCCACCTGCTGTCTGAGTCCAGCTAAACGGTTGGGGGGAAGTGGAAGCCATTGATGATGGATCATTGAATGCTAACCTTGAGGTCTCTGTGAATGACTCCTTCACTGTGGATGTGCTCCAGACAGTCCACCACCTCAGCTGCGTAGAAGCGCGCGCTTTCGAGGGGCAGCTTGCCGCGCCTTTTGATCTGGTCAAACAACTCTCCCCCGGGGCACAGCTCCAGGCCCATGTCTGGTTAACGTGTCAAGGAGTTACTAACTTTTGGCGGTTTGGAAATTTGACACCACTGAAAGAACAGAAAAGTGCCGGAGGCCAAGTTGCGGCAAATGAACTCTTCCTCAAGGAGCAATCATCATTGCTCCAAAAGAGGTGTGTGCATTGTCACAAATGCCTACTCAGAAGCTCAAGGGAACGGATAATGCAAATATGGTTCAAATGAGGCACTTAAGGCAGAGTGCGAAGAATCGATGCAGAGCGTTGTAAGAGGGATACACAATGACTGCTGGTCTTGGAATGTGAAGCACAGGCGGACGACCCCAGGGTGCCCCAGTCGGTCCAAGATGTTTCGTTCCCGCTTTGTTTGGAGAATCTTCCTCTCCCTGATTATGTGTCCTTTATCCATGACTTTCAGGGCGTACTCCTGACCAGTAGCAATGAGTGTTGCTTGAGCCACCTGAAGGGAGAGGAACCGAAGATAAAATTGACAAGGTTAAGTGAGCTCATGCAATTGGAGCCTACTGAGAGCGGAAGAGGCAACCCCACCATTCAAGCTATGCACCTTCCAGATGTCTTTTAGAATCGCCAGAAACGACCTCCATAAAGAAAAATAAAGAACCCTTTGGTGGCATTGATCAATAGAAGTACTCGAATGAGCAGCATTATGAACTGAATGGAAAAGTTCCTGCACATTTTCACAGACTTTCTGGAGACACCTTTTAGGAAAGAAACCCAACAGATATGTTAACACAATGTGTCCGTCCAGATGGACACAAAATCCTATGAGAACCAATCCATGCCACAGATTTTGCATATGTGCGCAATCATATTAATATTCTTTCCCCAATTGGAACCGCCACTTGCATCATTCCAGAAGGTGCTCACTTTTGAGTAAGAGCCAAGCCCCAGAAGCTTTCCAATCTTGAAGTCTTGAGGTTTGAAAGCGGCCCTCGGAGCACGGGGCTCCTTGTCACTTTGCCAAGAGGGGGGACTACCGATTGGTGCACTAGGTTCCTGCCGGGTGGTTTGCAGGTTCAGAGACTCCATCGGCAATTGCGCAGAGTCCGCCAACACATCTTTCTTCTTCTCCGCCATTCTGTCCACCGAAAACCTCCTCTCATCCATAGAGAGACCTGAGAACCGACTCCCCGTGCCGACCGAGTCTTCCGAATGCCGCGCTGACCCGGAGTCCTCTGACTTGCGGCTGCTCTCTGGGGACACTGGGATGAGGTCCCCCGTAAGTCTGTTCAGATACATGATGGCACACCCGAAGTACCTGCAATTGCCAAGGAACGCCAGCACCAGCCGCCTCTGTCCACCTATTAGTATGCACGCCAGCGCAACTCTGCAGAGCAAGCTGCTTCAACAACTTCTTCAGCTGAACAGCAGCACGGTCATTGGTGGACGAAGTGGACGCCAAGAAGATGGACGGTCGTCGAGCGGATCCCGCGGATGGCATGTAGCGTTGACCGTAAAATATCGCCTAGCGTTACATGCATTCGAACGCGCCGTGGACGATGGTTTCCGCATCCCGGTCAACAATAGTCTGGAAACGTCTGGACAGATGCAAATGCGTTCACGACCCACTTTTCATAGAAGAGCTCACCTTCGCTTCGTTCCTGTTCGCAGTTCAGGGATCTTTTGTTTTTGTAGCTGGTGTCCTTCTTCGTCTGTCAGCTCAGACGCTGGCATTTGCACCGGCAAAAGCTTTTGATCAGAGCAAAAGGAAACTTTATACCTCAGGGAGCTAAAGAAGTTTGCTTCATCTGACTTTTCCTTCGGCGCCTTGACTCGTACAAAGTAGAAAGCCCAAGTATGGGTGACGACCTACAGAAATGGAAAGGCCTCTTGAAGTGGTCCATGTCTCAGACCGCTGGCAGTCCATCTGGCCAACGACGTCCAGTAAGGTAAGTTTGCAGAAGTTCTTACAATGTAAAATGGTGGTATGGGATTGTGTTTCTGAAACTGCATCAACGAAGCGTGTGTGCTCCTTGCACTTCTCTGATTAGTGCTTGTACACCACCCATGCATCGAGCATGTCGAGCTAAGGCTTTGCAAGGACCCTGTCATTTGGTTTGTGTAAGTCATGCCTGGTCGTACTTTCTGTGGAAGTACCTTCTCCTTGAAGCTTATGCCATCAGATTCTATTCATTGAGAGCGGTAAGAAGGGTTATAGCTTGGTAGTCTTGCTTGCTGTGTTTCGCCCAGGACCAGGCAGACCGCATGATGCTTGACCCTTGACGTCTGATGACGTCTTCTAAACTTAAGTTGAGCATGGTTTTGAAGAAGGAATGCCACTGAAGATAGCGACATAAATTTTGCCAACTTTACTAGCGGCATTGTGGTTTATGTATCTGTTTGCTTCCTATAAGATCGGTATGACAAGCTTGCATTTCGGAAAATGCGTCACATGTCAGGTTTCTTCGTGTCTACATGTCGTAATCATGCTATCAATGCTCCTTTTTGCTGGCGGAGGCTCAGAACTTTTTGAATCTTTTCAACAATCTTGTCAGAGCTCAAGGACAGCTTGTGAGCAGCCTTCTATTGCATAACCCACGCATGCCACCGAGGAAAGTCCTATCATTGTCGGCTTTGGCGGATATCTTTACATTGTCAATTCACTAAGCAGTTGTTTCTCTTCTGACGTCAATCAATCTGGATTACTGTCAATACCAAACGTCGATCTCAGAAGTTGCTGACAGTGGGCTGTTTTTTTTGGATGCAGCGAAGAGGACAAGAAATTTTTCCAAGATGCGATGCGAGAGAACACGATTGACATTGTGCAAAGGATGAGGGAGATTACCATGGTGATGAGCATGCTCGAGCAGGAGCTCAAGGACCAGGGCGTTACAACGGAAGACCTCATCGGTATGTTTGCTTACCTGGCGCCTCCAGTCATCCTAGCATCTTCAATAGAGTTTTTTGCCGTCATGTTCTTAGACCAACAATCAAACACGAGATTGTCAGACAAGCTTCTTCCACACATGGCGGGAAAAAGAACTTGATTCCATTGAAAGTGGGAATAGTCATGCACAAGTTGAACAGGAGGATTCTGGAGGCGGATTGCAAATTTGGTGAATGAGGTGTGACCAGGTATGTTTCCTCGTCGGCCTCCCCGAGCTGAGGTTGCAATTCTTGCGCAGTGTGAAGGTGTTCCTTGGGAAGATGATCAACTTCGTTTTGCTGCCTGCAGAGATGTTAGAAGAACTCCAAGACCTAGTGGGGCAGATTGACTACGCGAATGGTAAGTATTCCCATATCTGTGCCAATTTTCAAACTCAACCAGACTGTTGGGCGTGTGACTCTTTGTTCACTGACGTTCTTTTGCCGTTGAAACTAAATGTCCAAGCTACGATCCGTCCATTAGAACGAGTTTCATGTTCAGAAAGTACACCTGCTTTTGCTATCAGAAATGTTACGTCAAGAGGATTAGTGGGCTGGGTATCCTCCAACCTGCACCACTCTGAGAGCGGTTATTCCCATTGCCGGATTCGATATGCAACCCCGATCATCAGATCTTGCTCTCACATCATTCCTAATGCTTCTCACGGTCTTGAAAACCTTCACTCCACAAAAATTTGAAGTTGCCTGGATTTTAAGCGTGGGTCGACGATGTTTCCCAGGTAGTGATCGGAACTTTCAAAGAGCGGGCCGTGCAAATTCCCGTCGTTGGGATTCTTATCCCCTCTCGTTCTATGTTTATGCTCAGTTCCCTGTGTTCATCCTGGTTGTGACTGATCATAATGTCCACTGATCTGCATTGATTGGTTGAGGGTCCCGTTCTGTTTCCTTCTTGCTGTATGAAAGTCGGTCGTTTCAAGTTCCTAATAGAAGCAAAGAGATGAAGTAAACTGAGAAAGGAACGCAGTGGATCTGGCACCGACAATTCGTTCTTTCCTTCTCTTTCTCTCGTCAAGTTTTCCTCTTTCCCATCCCAATCGGTTTGTGTTTTTCCTTCCCCCCCTCACCTTCCCCTTA